AACAACATTGAATTCATGCTTGGGGGCCTGCCCTGAGATAGTGTATGCGAAATGGTGTCTTTTTGTCAAGCAGAAGTACAGTAGATCGTCATGCAATTTTTCACCCCATTCATTTCTATGGGAAAAAATTCCACAAAATTCCATTGCTACATGGAATCCTCGCATCTGATCAAAAAGCTGTATACAAGCCCGAATTACACAATCAGACTGGACTGCTTTGCAATGAGCAACCATAATAAAGTGTGAACTTTGAGTGAAGCTCAAAATGTGATGTGTGAAAAGAATGTGAAAATGTGAAAAGAATAATATAAATATCCCCAAGTAATTTTACCGCACACAACAGGCCTTATCGTGTTTTAGGTGTGAAGGAGTAGGTGTGTCGTGAAATTTCATTAAATTCCTATGAGTAGTGTTGTCACGCTCTTCAAGAGAAAAGCAAAATGCAAATTAGGCAATACAGTGTCAATATTTTCCACTTGAGCAAGATCATAGATGACAGTGAGCTGGAAATTTTCTTTTAAATGAAATGTTGAGTCAAAATGACAGAAGGTAGGAGGTTCACAGAAAGATTCACGTTTGGTGATTCATCACTTTCACACAGGGTATCTCTCATTGTTCCAAATATGTGAGATTCTCAAAGCTCTTTCTACGTTATCACTATACATTTCATCTTGCCTTTACAGCTGTATTACAATATTTATGTTATTTCCTTGCATGCTAGACAAAGACAGGTGACAAATGAAAGGAAAACCCAACATAAAGTGGTACTTAGTACTAAGTGCCTTAGTAATGAGCCACCAGAACAGCATCACTGAAGCGTGGCATAGATTCTAAGTCCCTGGAACTCTACTAGAAGGAGGGTACACCGTTCTACGAAAAGATATTCCATCGTGCAGCACACTTGTCTGGAAGAAACTGCATACATTAATCAGGTCTTTTCCTTTGTCATCTGTCTGTTCATCTAATCTTAATGTTTAAATTTTCTACATTTTACATTGCAAGATTAGATTGAACAGGGTAATCAGAGCAGGTGAAAATCCACAACACATTCAACTTATAAGCTCATTATGCATACCATCCCAACATTAAAAAATAAACAAAGAAAGAAACTAGAACAGACATCAGCATGTTAAAATTCTGGAGATAATGATCTGGTAATGAACTGAGTACCCACCATTCATATACATTTGAGATGCGAAGATACTGTTGAAATTGTCTTCTTCCTTAGCTTAGGGGTTCTCAACCTTTTCCACTTCTTGGCCCACCTATTTATCAATAGTAAGGATGAAAAGGTCATTAACAAAGCAGAATTGTGGTGTACACCCTGGTTTGGGTGAAATACTTTGAAAAAGTAGTGATGGCTGAATACTGAATACATTGTCCTAAATGAATTCAATAACATATTTCGTTACAATACATGAAAATGATCTATATTCAGAATACATTTAGAATACATTAAAAAAAAAGCTCTAGTTTTTTTTTAGAAAAGTTTTGTTCATGTAATTCTTCTATTAATGTTTGATATAAAATACATTTATTTAAATGAATATCAAAATAAATACAAAATTCTAAGTGTGATTTTGCCTCTCATCGCTTGCTTCATTCCACTGCTGCTCCAATAATCCCACTGCCCTTTCATGACCTAAGCCAACAATACACCATATCCCAATAACAAAATCTGACAGACTTGACTTTAAAATGGGTAGCAATGTGATTTTCAGTTAATGATAGATGCATAACTTGCCAGAGTGCATGCACAAGTCCAGTGCAATACCAATTCTAAGCTTTTCACTCGTTAACGTGCACTACTGAGGAGACTGTTCAGTTCAGCCATTCCTGAAGAGTTTACTAAAATTCAGAATAACTGATTCATCACAGTGGTTTATCAGTCTACTCAGGCTTTAGCAGGATCTTTAGTGCTTGTAAAGAAGCCATTTTTGAGTTCTTCAGAGTACACTTTTATATGCTGTGTGCTGTTTTTAAAATAGTTACTGATGGGCCCAAAGTTTTATTACAATTTCTATAGCCTTAGAAAAGCTCCATTAGTTTGCATCTGTCGTTACTGAATAATAAGCCTTTGTTTGAAACAAACCTGGAATGTTAAGACAAAAAGTGACGTTGCTTTGAAAGATGGTATAAATACTTTTAAATGTGTAAGTATTCTAAAAGTATTCTCCTAAAAATGTAAAAAGTAACTGTTCTCTGAATATTGCCTTTACAAATATAACTATGTATTTCAAATACTTCTGTTACATCCCAGCCCTGTGTACCACACAGTTTAAAAGTGATTACCTAGCTATGCCTTGCTCTCCTTTAAAGTGACCAAACCTCATTCATGTCACATTAAAGTTATATTCAATGTTAGCCGTTGGTCTGTTTTCCCAAGGCTGAAGGTCGTAATTACAAGAAGGTGTGAAGTCTGAACTCAGAAATCTGATCCTGCAGACACCTCACTGTATAAAACCAAGGAAAAATAGATTCCAAGTGTTAACAGCAGCGTATGCTTACATATATCTGCATTTATACACTTGAACATGCCACTAAAACAGAAATCACAGGGTTGGGTTTTGGGTGTGAGGAAATAAAGCAAAGTAATGTTTCAATTGAGCAAGACCAGACTTGGCAGTGTGCTCGACAGTTTTTGAACTGTTTTAAAAAAATGTTGTATGCACCATTCACATGCATTTGAGATGTGAAGATATTGGTGAAGCTTACTTTTCCTTTGGCTCAGTGGTTCTTAACATGTTCCACCTCACGGCCCAGCTATTTTTCACTAAAAAGCATCAAAGCCCACAGGAGAACAAAATGCAACTAAATTGAAACATTTTCATCACAGCTATGTTTATGTGCTTACCTCCACAATTTGTGTACCACTCATCATCTAAGCTGCTTATCCTCTTGGGTCGCAAGGGGTGGTGGAAAATCCCAGTGCTCATTGGGCAGGAGGCAAAAAAAAAATACCCTGGACAGGTCGCCAGTCCATCACAGGGCAGACACACAGACATACATAGTCACACACACACATACCTAGGGTAACACTCCAACTGGCCAGACTGCACATCTTTGGACAGTGCGAGGAAACTGGAGACACCTAGAGGAAACCTACAGGTATGGGGAGAACATGCAAACTCCACACAGAAAGAACCCTGGTTGCCCGGCCAGGGAATCAAACCCAGGCCCTTCTTGGTTCTACCCACTGTACCACCACGATTTGTCTACCAGTAAACATAAAATTGTAACAGATTAGACTAATGTAAGCATATTTTTTGCCAGAAATCAGGCAGGAAAGTGACAAAATAAGTGGAATGTTTCAACACCACAATTTTGACACCAGGTGCTTGTAAGTGGACAACTATAAATTTTGGCGAGTGCATTTTGTTTTCTAAAGACAAAAATTTATCAAGCTGCCTTTGTGCTTTGTTGTTTAGCTTGCATTAATATTATTTACCATTTAAAAGCACCTTTTTAATTTGTTGTCAATTAGTTTTTCACTGATTTTTATGCCAGTGCCATCACTGTTGGCCCACTATTGACAACTGGCCCCTCTCAGAATTGGACCGTGGACCACCAAGGGGGACTTTGAGGGCCAGTGGCTGAGAAACCCAAATGCTTTGAATGAAGCATGCCATAGGCATATTATATATATATATATATATATATATATATATATATATATATATATATATATATATATATATAAATAAATAATTCTACATTAAGAAGAAACTGTTACTAATCACAGAGGAAACACTGAGTTTCAAAAATGTCCCTTTTCTTTATTAAAAAGCCATTATTAAATCTATGTCAATCACCAAAAACCACATACAAAATGTATATGTGAAACATATGTACCCTTTTCTGCCACCTAGGGTATACTCATATGGCCCCATACTACATTTTTGAGTCAAACAGGGCAACAACCTGGGGTTTTAAATTTATTGCTGTTAAATTCCAGGGAACAGTTTGCATAAAACCCAAAGTTTATGCAAATATTGAAATATTTTGTAATCTTTTTGATACATAATAACATTTAGGTATCAAAGGTAACAGTAAACATACAACTAAAGATAACAGTGTATCATCTTATGATACAGCACAGCATTTTTCAAACTGCAAGTTTAACAAGTATGAGTGGCAGGTTCTTAGGTTTTTATGTACATCATTCTCACATTAAGTTTCTCCATTCATTACCTCTTTCTCAAGCAGTCTGTGCATTTTCCCCAAGTTACTGGTTGCAACAGGTTTCCTCAGCAGTTTAGAAAATGGTGGTGGTGGTTGGGGGGATTTGACTATACTGAGACACAGCCTTATTGCTGCACAAAACAGAGCCATACTGTTGGGCGTATGCTTTAGTTCTTACAAAGTACTCCACCAAAACTACTGCATGTTAGACTAAAATGAACAACTGACTGACAGTAAGTGAAGTTTTCAGAATGGTTAGCTTTTTTGAGCTGTTTTCACAGATTTGTTGGAGGAAAAAAAAACAATGAAAAACATCAGGCTGAATGGCTGCAGTTACAGAATGTAAGGCAGGAGTGAAGCTTCATCCACTTTGGCTGCCTGAGCATAATCAAATACTAAACAGAATGTTTTTTTATCTTCATGTTTAGGAAATGACCCTTTCCACAGATAGTAAAACGGAACAATATGGTAGGACATTTTATCCATTTTAACAGACTCCAGCACTGTTTGCTGATGTTCGCACTGTTTAAATAGCTGAAGCAGGCGTGGGTGGGGGGTGGAGTCACTAAACTGTGCAGGAATCCTGCCTTTCAGGACTGAAGTTCCCCACCCATAGAAGAACGCAGCTTTACTTGGCACCACCTTGTGGCAGCTCTATGCTATGAATTATATTCACAGCAATACTGGAGAAAAATGGTACAAAAGGACAATGGAGCTTTACTGTTGCAGTTATAGTGTTACTAACTTTTTTTCATATCAAGGCTTCAGGATTTGTGGTTGGTATAGTGCACATCACCATAAAAACAAAACCAAAAGATGAAAGACAGCAGCATTTACCTTGGACATAAAGATGATGCTTATATGCATTTCACATTATATCAACTGGAAAATGCTCTAAAGATTAGTTATTTTAATATTAGCATTGCTAAAATATTTCATACCATTGACAAAACCAACATATACATTCAAACAATGCAGCAGAGGGGAAAAAAAAATCTTGCTGAACCTTCCCTTCCTGCAAATATTTAACAGCTTAATAATAATAATAATAATAATAATAATAATAATGATGAGGAGGAGGAGACCTCAATTATGAAAGAACATTTTGTTTCCAAACTGTTCATGTCACACATCAAAGTTTGATTACTGGGCTAAAACCTGGGTCAAAGATTTAATACGACCATTCATAGCTTTGTACTCATAGTTTTGGCATATTTTCAATATCTTGTTAACATAGCCACTAACTTGGAGAACCCACAGTACACCGCATATGGCAGGAACTAATGTGAACCTGAGTTAAAACAAAAGGGTCTTTGGGGAAAATCATTCAAGATATTTTCAAAATGGATTCATTACAAGTATTCATTATAATTCATTATTGTTTACATTGGGAGTTCAAAATTTGCATACATGTAATTTCTTAATGGGAAAAGGCTACAATATTGGCTTTTCTTTGACAAACCTAAAAAAAATCAAATCTATCCATGACACAAAGAACTGTTTGATGACATAGTTTGATTAATATCATCATACTGCCCTTGCAGCATTGTTCACCCCAATACAAAATACCCCTCTGAAAGCTATCCTATTCTCACCTAACTAAAAGCGGGTTACACTGAGATATGCATTGATGCTATGAGTTTACCCGTTCACTGCTTTAAAGAACTGAACTGTACCCTGCCCTATAGAGCCATGGTCTTTCACTACAATCTTCAATCTTTAATTCAAGAACTAGCCTAGATCAGTAAACATGAGCTGTTGCTCCTGTGCCAGTCCTCAGTGCAAGTTACCGCAGTGAATGATCACTCTGGTAGAATCACGTTGTCTTTCTCACAATTCTGTCCATTTGAGGACCCTACAGGCACAAATACTTGGGTTCATAAAGACCTCAAAGTGTTTTTCAAGAACAAATAATGTGTATGTACAGTACACCGCACCACACCAAGACTTCAGCCATGAGTGGAAAGACCTCTGCAATAACCCCAGGGGTACTGGGGTAAAAACAAAAAAAACAAGGCTTTAAGCATCGTGACTCTCAGTCAGGGTTGTTGTCTAGCACTTCAGAATGGGGTGCATACTTCAGCCGGAAGCCACCTAAAAGAGAAACAAGGAGTGCAGAAGTGATGCAGGAAACAGAAAGAGTGCCTGGATCAATACACATGACATATGTTAACAAAACCTATGAGTAGATCACTGTATATGTTACTTTCCTTCAAGCATCAGTACTTAAATAATTAGACTTCTACAGTGAGCTAATAATGATAATGTCATTACATGACAAAAACAAGAAGCCTTTTTTTTTTTTAACAAAATTTAGCAAGCGACACCAAAAAGGTGATGATAAACCTTCCATTTTATAAATCCACTATAAGGTGCTCGTCTCCAGGTACTTCATTTCACTTCAGGTTAAGCCTTTTTCCCCATTTTTTCCTGGCCCCCATTTCATACTTTTCAAAATATGTATTCTTATTTCTGAATGTTTCACATTGCTGCTTACCTTGCTGTGTAGCATCAATGGGTGGCTGTTTGCAATCCTGTGCATAGTGGCCACTACCACCACAATTGTAGCAAGAGATACTGCCATTTTTCTTGTTGATTCCTCCACTCACAGCACCAAGGGCCATCCCTGGACCACTGCCAGCTCCTTGGACCATAGTAGCGTAAATGGGTTGATAGAAGCGGTTGAATGCAGTCATCTGTTGGAGTCCAAAGCTGGCCGCCTGGGAACTTAGCACATGATCTGAATGTGTGTGGCTGTGAGGGTGCAGTAGAGTGCCCCCTGCAAAAGCAGTAGGGGCAGCTGGGTAAAATGGCACTTGGGAGGCACCATTGCTCTGTGTAGCCTGGCTGAGCTGGTTGATGTAGCTGCTGCTACACAGTGATGTCAGCTGAAAGATGGGTGGTATGTTGAAGACTTGCCTTGGAGCCATCTGCGTGGGGAAGTAGTAGTTGGGGGCATGACTGCTGCCACAACTGCCCCGACATCCACAGGCATTGCAGCAAAGAACCTGTTGAGCAGCAGGTAGCTGTTGCAGCTGGGGGATGCTGTTGCTAGCACTGCTGTTTATGTAAGAATTAGCATCACTCTGAGCAGTGCTATGTGTGAGAGCAGGGATGGGACTTGGGGCAGGTCCAGGTGTATGGGTGGGCACCACTGGAGCTGGCACCTGACTGGAAGAAGCTGTGCCTATTGAGCCCACAGTCCCCATTGGGGGCATGCCAGTGGAGGGGACTGATAGGCTGAAAGAAGGTGGCAGGGCAGAAGGAAGAGTCAATCCTTGGGGTTTGGTATGAGACTCTGCCGGAGGAACTGAGCTCAGGACTTGGTCTGCCCTGGCATAGGCTGCCTGAAGGGCTGGGGGAAAAGGGGTGCCAGACGGAACAACACTAAGGGCGCCCATGGGAGACTGGTGGGGTGGAGGGACCAACACCCCACTTTCTGTACCAGCCTGTGCCCCAGCTGTCTTAAACCGCTGCAGAATAGGCTGCAAAACCGGGCTGCCAGGAGATTGGAGGCCAAGAACTGAGGTGTTGAAAGACTGGATGGCAGAAGGGACCTCTGATGAGCATTTCTCTGGGTCATCTAAAGTTACTGATGGGGTGGGGATGACCCCAGGATGTGGCATCATTAGCTCGGTGCCTACTTTGGTATCTGGCAGCTGTGGAGAGCTCCCAGTTGCTAAAACGGCAGGTCCGTTGGGGATTGGGAATGGTGCATGGTGGGCAAAAGGAAGCTGGTGGAACTCCACAGCAGTGCCCTGCAGAGTGCCCTCAGGGTGGATTTCCTGGCCTCTTTGTTCAAGTGGAATGAGTGAGTGAAGGGCATCAGTAGGTTCTCCTATTACTGGACAGACAAGGACAGGGTCTGCAACAGACTTTCTTGAGTCATCTGAATGGCTGTCTGTGTCTGAAGAAGGAAGACAGAGAGAAAAGCTTAGTTTGGGAGGTTCATAAACACAGCCATAGCAGAACATGAGTTTAGTTTGGTAAGTTCAGAATCACAGGTGGTGGGCAGAGTCTCACTATCTGCTGTAGTTTGAGTTGACTGACCCGACTCTGGACTGAGTAAAAGCTCACTATGACAATTTTTTGTGATTACAAACGCGATTGTTGGCATTCTCAGTTTTTTGTACATTTTGTCGTAAACTTTGTAATTTGTCACAAAGCTAATCAGGCAAATGTTGTCAACTACTAAAGAAAGTCAATCAAACGTCTCTAATCACCTTTTGTTTCCTTTTAGTCCGCGCAGCGCTAGCGCAGAGGGCTAGATACACAGGTATGTAACTGTAATAAATATTATTTGAAGTCAATTAATATGTATTTTATTCATTCATCATACCACAGGGGCTGGAACCACTAAATGGAGGTTAAACAGGCACCAGTGATGTGCAAGTTACATTAATAATCTTACAGTTTTCTTATTGCAGCATGGAAGCAGGTTATATTTAATCGGCAGTGTGTGAGCAGATATATTATGCTAAATACAACCCAACTTATAAAAAAGCTGGGATGCTGAACAAAATATCAAAGACAAAATATCAAATGTTGAAACTGAGAAAATGTCTTTTAAATACATGCTCATTTTAAATTTGATGCCAGCAATAAGTTTCAAAAAAAGTTGGGACAGGGGCATGTTTACCACTGTGTTGCATCTCCTTCTTTTAACAACACACCATAAGTGTTTGGGAACAGAGGAAGCCAAGTGCTGCAGTTTTGAAAGTCAAATGTTTTCCCATTCTTGCTTGATATATTCAGCTACTCAACAGTTCAGGGTCTCCTTTGTCATATTTTTTGTTTTATAAAGCATCAAATGTTTTCAGTGGGTGACAGGACTGGACAGCAGGCAGCCCACTTTAGTACCTGGACCCTTTTACTACAAAAGCCATGCTGTTTGGAATATGTGTAGAATGTGGTTTGGCACGGTCTCCCTGAAATAAGCAAGGCCTTCCCTGAAAAAGACGTTGTCTGGACAGCAGTATATGTTGCTCCAAAACCTGTATATATCGTTCAGTATTAATGGTGCTTTCACAAATGTGCAAATCACCCATGCCATATGCACTATTGCACCCCCATACCATCATGGATGCTAGCTTGTGAACAATGCGCCGAATGGTAGCTTTTCTCTGGACAATGGTTTTCAGAAGCGTTCCTGAACCCCTGCAGTGATATCCACTACAGAATAAGCCCATAACATAAACAAGTGATTATTGCTATGTGTATAAGCAAGACAGGACATTATGTGTGATGCAAATGAGAACGTGGCCAAATAATACACGCCAGATAAACAAAGCATTTCCAGCATCTGTGATTTTTTTATTTGCTAGATAATATGGTTATATACTGGAATTTTAAGTTTCTATTACTTCATTTGTTCCTATGCTATAAAGATAAAGATGTGCTATAAAGATATACCATTCTAAATGTTTCTCTGATGGAATTATTGTTTTTTCATTGTGTAAAATCTGACTTGTCAAATATTTCATGTGGTAACAAGCAATTTGAGTGGTTTATTTAAACTCAAATACTTTAATTTTAGTTTAGATGAACAAAATCAATATTTTACATCAATTTAAATGACAAAAAGACTTCAACTTCTGCTGTTTCCCACATTTTCAGTCAAATAATAAACTAATTAGAAAAAGAAACATTACATGTGAAATGGAGATTCTCTTGAACACATCTCTTTTAAAATACATTCAAATGGAACAGAATGAAATTGCTTATTAGGAAATTCTATAGGCAGCCATCTGTGACTGCTGCTGCTAATGCGGTAGACAAGGTGAGTGAAAAGTAGGTCAAAGACGTTTCTAGAAGACATTAAATATAAAACTATAGACATTATGACACTTTATATCAGTCCCTCTTTAGCCTACCTATTGCAATTCTTGGAAATCAGAAAGACAATAAATATAATTTAACAGCAAAACGTGTTTTGCCATATTTTTCTGTGTTTAACATGTAATCATGTTTCGGCTCTGGTATTGTTCCATCTCGACAGCTAATCTGATTGACCTGGTTCCTCTTGTTGGATCATAGCTGAACTCTGATTGGAGCTCTCTGTGTAGTTGTCTTGGCATTTTGCCTGTACAGACAATGATTTAAACTTTACGTTTTTTTTTTGTTTTTTTTTTTAAACGTGCACATATCTTTATTGGCAACAGTTCTTCCCATGCTACCAAAAAGTATTTGAGAAGTACATACAAAAAAGTACGTAGTTCCTCGACAAGGACTGATGAAATGAATGTTTTCGAGGCTCGGCCCACAGCCTATATGTAGGATTTTTGATTACAGATCATTTTACCTTTGCCTTTCTCGTCTTCGCTCTCAAAGCTCTCTCTACCATCATGCTGAGGGCTGGATGGTGAACTGTAGCTCTCAGATGACGTCTCTCCATATGTGTTCTGACATGGGCCATTGTCTGTATATAAATAATAGACAAATAATTGCAAGTTCATGTAGGATGTGGAAGAATATGATCAGAGATTTTGTTCTACCTATAGTGCCAGTCTGAGAGAGAGTCTGTAGTCTGTAGCAACCTTAACAAATAACTATAGCTTGGCAATCAATAACAGAACTGAACTACATGACATCTCAATATGCTTTTCTGAGCATATCTAGGATATCATTGGTAATAAAGCACACCAGACTGCCTGTTTAATTACAAAGAGAGCATTATTGGTCCTGTTTAGCTGGATTTTGTGCAGCATAGTATGTGAAATGTTAAATAAATGCAAGTAAATGGCACATGCAATTTGGACACTGTATTCTAGTCAACAGAATAAGAAAAAACAACGGTCTACCTTTTCCCTTGTAGTTATGAGCCAGTGGTGATAAAAGCGACTTTGTCCCATTGCTGATGTAATGGACTCCTCCAACCCCTCTCTCTCCTTTCTCACCACTTTAGGAAAAGGTAGGGAGCATCCACTGTATTCATTACATTTTAAAGACATCCCTTCTATTGTTTATGACTCATCAAATATTTAAAGAGGAGAGTCTCAGAATCAGATTTGAAAATACTCCAGTTGTTAAGTAAGATTTTAGGGAAGATATCTTTTTGCTGGTCTTACCCATCAGAAGGGGCAGCTCTGGCCTTCGGCTTAGTGCTTGGACTCTCTCCTTCTCCACCTACTGGCTGTATTAAGAATGAAAGAGATTCACTGTAGTACACTTTAGTGACTAAGTATTTTGTTTGTCTGCAAGCTTATCGCTCAAGTTTTTATAATCGTCCTGTCTTGATGGTTCACATGTGTGTTTGTAAGCGTGTTTCTATCCGTCCTCCCTGAAACAACCTCGATATGCATATCCAGTCATCATCATATGCCTCATGCACAACACAAGAAGTATGAACAAACTGGCAGCACAAGCCTTCTTCGCAAAGATCATTTGCTCTGAATATCCGGTCAGCTGTTCATGATTAGGTCAAGAAGGAGAAAAAACAAAAGGACACACTAATTTACGCATTGTTGTCACGCTGCCAACACTTCACGACAATGGGGGCCTTGACTTGACTTGATTTGAAAAGATCAGACATTTTCGCATTCACACAGCTCTCAAAGCTATCGGATTCGTGCCATTTCACCCTGGTAATCTGTATATATTAAAAGTTGAGTTTTAAATAACATACATTCCTAAATACCATTACACTTGTCCAAAAACCAGACGTCATCGACATACCTTTGTGTTCTGGCTGAAAGTGGGTTTCAGGGCACAGCTCTTTTTCTTCCACTCTGCTAGACCGTTGTTGTCTGAGCCACGATCCATCCTTTTGCCCTCTGCACCCCACATGCTGAAATAGTTTGCAAATTAAAAGTGGGCAGGTACTCAATCCAGAAGACTCCAAAAGAAAAATATTAAGTTGTCTACTGACAGCCAACAACTCCGCAGACATAACTCACACTTTTCATCATCTTATATCCAAGAAAAGCCGCAGCATAGGCTGTAAGTACTGAGTGACCACTTTTGATGTGTTGGCTCTATAGTATACTCTATATATGTTCTCAGTCATAAATATGCCAAAATCAGTGTATTTATGAATAATAAAAAAAGAAAATTAGAATGAATTAAATGTTTACTTACTTAAGATTGGGACTTTTGTTGCCAGGTTTCTTACGATGCCCCTGAACATATGGTTCCGTATCTGTGAAAATACAGGTCATTATGTTCATCATGTTTATAAAGTCTAATGGACAGTGATTTTTAATCGCTAATAAATTAATGAAGTCTTAGGGAACCCACGTTCCAAAAGACCTGATTTGAAAATAGTTTGCCATGAGTGCAGAGAACTTTTAAAAGTGCATTCAGAAAAGTAATTTTCAATTTATGGTTAAGCCTGACATATGAGCTAATGATTTAAAACCGTTAGAGAATTACACACCTTCCTCTTGACTTGATGCCTCAGAGCAGTCCTCTTTATAGGGCTTCCCTGAAGAGACATGGTTACCTGACCAAAGAAAAAAGCACCAAAGCAAACATGCAATATTTTGCTTGCACCATTTAACATGAACATCAGTGTGGTATAAGCCCATTCATTTCTCAAGTAACCACCTAGAACTCCTGTTAGGCTAACATGCTCATGGCTGTATATGGGTCAGCACTAAATGGTGTTGTGACAAATTATTCTACCTTGTCAAAATGTCCAAACGTAGCACATATTTACAAGTAGAGCTCTACGTAAAACTGTAGGTGGGATACTTTGATAGCTTAAATCACATGAAACTTCTTATTCTCTAGCTTCTTGTTCAAACGTTTCACCTTTTTCAAATGTTCCACCTTAAGTGGTGCAGCAGTTACATTCTGGTGCCTCAGGCCACCGAGGCATTCAGGCATCCAAGGTGGAACTCTTATCAGAAAATGTTACCAGCATTAATAGAATAATAAATGTTACTGAGAGCACTGCTCATTACACTGTTTACAAACGCATTTAGAGAGCACCATTAATTGTTATTAACCTTTGGCTATTTTCTGTTGTATTTTGAAGCTATTTTATGTGTCCGTGTAACGTCACTAACTTCTCCCTACAACAACCGTAATTACAGAATATTAGTATTACTATGTTTTCATTTAACTTCCAATAACTTTTTGAGAAGAAAGGAACAGAGAACAAAGCAAAGTTACAAATCAAAGGTTGACTAAGACTATAATATAATAATGATTAATATTGTTTTAGGCTATATATTATTTATCGCTATATTTAGCAAATATTTATATAAAATGTAACATATATGCCATGATAATGAATGTGTAACCACCAATTAATTTTATTTACGTATTTTTTTTCTTATTCTGAAAAACAAAAAAACAAAAAAACAAAAACAAAAGTGGTCTCAGTCTCAGTGTTGACTAAGACCTGACTACTAAATATCTTGGTATTCACTCAGACTCCATGCGTCCCGGTCTCAGTCTTGACTCTGCTCTAGCAGTCTTGACTACAACGCTAATGATCATTAATAATAAATGTTAACGTTTATTTAATTTTGTTGTTCAACCAAAAATGCAATACATGGCCAACTCACATTCTGTTTGTTGCAAATAACTGCAACTCATTATCCTTAGCCTGGTTAGACAGTATTAAAATGTCACTAACAGTGGTTGCTAGTGTGCCAGCACCACCAAAGCTTTTTTCATCACTTCCTCTGAAAACATATCCCACCCACAGCATTTGACTGACAGAAGTACCTCATGGACAGTGAAAATGAAATAGAAACAACGCTGGAAATACATTTTAACTTTGGCAATGCTGGAGCACGAAGAAATGCAATTACAAATGGGTGATTGTTATTCCGTTTTAGTATGTCAGAGTTATACCATTAAAACGATGAAAAATGTCAAAAGCACTTTGTTTTTCCATATTATCTTTTTCCAGCCATTATACACAAAATGCAAATGCAAATACACATTTTGCATTTGAATTATGTATAATGCATACATGGGAAAAGCAACTGTAAATACACAATTTAACCAGAAAAAATTCCAGGATATGTTACCATGGATTAATCGTTGGTGGTGCATTTACGAAAGACATTTTCTTGTAACACTAGCCATCAAAGAATGTGTGTAAGGCTCATCTCAAAGACTTCTTGTTTAATAACTTACATAGGCTGCAGGAGAGACTGTGGGATGACGAGGAACCACAATGGAAGAAAACACAAACTTTTCCTGTGTGACGGAAAGCATGTGGTGCAGCCAGAAACTTCTCTCTAGCATAAGGAGGAAAAAAGATCACTCAGTGTTCATTTACAATGTGGGTTGAATAAGTAATGATTCTTTTTTTTCCTATAGCTGAGAAAGAACGTACACAGCAAATATAAAGATCATCTGATGAGTTCAACTGCACCTACTTCAGTGATTGCTCCACCTCTCTGCCCTCATGCTTCTGGCCCTGGTTCAGTAACCGTAATATACCCCTCTCAAAAGTGTCTGTGGAGTGCTCTTTTGGAAGCTGAAAAAACAGAAACAAGAAGGTATAACGTCTAAAAGGAAGAAAGGTCTACAATGTGAAATTGGTACCACAACACAGTATATAAACATCACAGGCTAAAAACATGACTTGCATCTACATTTGCATTTATTATATTTGACCAAACCCTGATCAAATCTATTTATTTTATTCTTTGTCATTTTGATGTTTAGCTTGAAAGAAAGCAAATGTGAAATCGGTTGTCTGATTAAGGGTATAGTAAATACCTTCAGCAGGAAGTTCTCCAGTTCAAGATGCGTTTTTGTGACTGAACTTGTTGATAAATCTGACCACTTCACCTAAAAGAAAATAGGAGTAATCAATCACTGAGCTGATTTGTCAATCAGAATTCTTACCAACTGAACTGTATTGATCCTCTGATAGTAACACTGCATCAAAACACTAGTCAGCCACCCAATACTTTAGGAAGCGTAAGGCATTTTTGTAGGAAAAAAAACCCTTAAAACCATCAGAAACGCATCACTTATACAAAGCATACACTGAACATTCTCAAAATCTTGTGCAAGAACTGCCTGTACACACTAGAAAATATGCATTTCTGAAACATAGGCGCAGCTTTATGCATTAAGCCTTAACGACAGGGCGATGTAAACGGATTTCATTGATGATTGATAAGTAAACCCTATGACGATGTGTTAAAGATGAGAAAGAACTAATTTACAGTTAAACAGCTTGTAAACATTGTAGCGTTTTACGCTGTAGAACAAGACACAGCAGTTTCCACACAAACTGTTGAGCTTTATTTAAGGCTGTATTTAGCTCCAGCCTTGCCTCACACATGGAATGGTTCTTCCTTCACTCTCAGCCTTGCTACCTCTAACTTGCTTGGCTGCCAAGGGAAACTGACACTCTCTTCCTGAATTAAGCATCAACATAATGAAAGAATGCTTCACAATAAGAGTCCTTGTAGAAATAAACCCATAAAATAACTGCAGCAGATAACCAAGAATAAAACAAAACAAAAACAAAAAAAAAAGATATACACTAAGGGGCCCAATCGCATTTCACCCCTTGCCCTACCGCTTAGCCCTATCTCTCCGTTTTGCACACCTAGGGGTACAGTGTCCCAGTTTTTGTTGAGGGGTGGGACAAAATGTTCGGGCTACATGGCCCTCCAAACGGAGTGTTATGGGGGGGGCTGCAAGATGTCTGTGCAAGCGACCACAGAAACCCACAAATTCAGGTATTTTCTCCATTAAAAAAATTTACGATAACCATTGTATTATCTTAGTTTAATGTTTCAATGTATTATGGTCATTCTCTTCATAAGAAGCTTAAAAAAAAAAACACAGGTAGTATGCTGTCTTGGTAGCTAGCTAGCTAAACTTCCCATTCCACTTCGCCTGAAGCACCAGAATGTAACTGCTGCACCATTTAAGGTGGAACAGGAAAAGTTGAAGCTGGCAAATAGCTGACTTCAGCTTCATATCACAAGAATTAGGGGTGGGCAATAATAAATAATTGTCACATAATACTAGCATAATAGCATAATACTAGTTCTCTGTTTTACCTATATATACACACTGTCAGGACATAATATGTCGGATTAATTTCTAACAAATATGGCAGACTTGGTAACAAACTATAAATAAATCTATTTGTGACCATCTGTCTCCACCAACCAAGGGCAGAAAGTTAAAGTATGGAGAGTGAATGACCAGGGTGTAGCTGTGTTTGCGTGTCTGTATTCAAGATGAATGCCCTGTCAGATTCTATCACCTCACATACAGCTACACAATTGGTCAAAGCTTATTCATGCATTCCACTCTTATTTGTCTAATCTTATCACAGACGCTACATGGCAGGGCTGGTGCCTAAACCACACATAGCTGTACTACAGCCCAAAGATTAAGACCTTTTTTGAAATTAAAGTAGAGAACACCCCTCATATACACAAAGCTTCATTAAGTTTCATTTAATTCATTTCATTTCATTCATACCTTAATTTAAGTATATTATGTAAGCAGTACTCTGCAATATTTGAGAATGTTGTAAATTTAGTTTTGCTTTTCAAAAACATTGATAAAAGCCTAGATGTTTCATTATAATCCAGTATGTCACTGCAACTTTGGTCCCATTCTAATTCACACCCAGGAAAACACAAGATAGGAACATCATCTTGGAAGTATATTGTTTCAAATGACAGACAACCTAATTATACAAGGCAAGACAACCCCTCACACAACTAGGCCCTTATCAGCCTTCTCAATTCTTGAAGGTAGGCCACAAAGCAAAATACAAAATGGGCAAGTGCATGTGTGGGTCACTGTCAAGTGTACACATGTTGCCGATTGACCAAAAACCAACTATGTTACTGAGACTTAAAAATAATTTTAAAGAAAAAAAAGAAATGTAGCAGGCAAAAGTTATTACAATGGTTTTAGTGCCAAATGACAAGAACAGATAGTACTGGAAGAAAAGTGATCTAAGGTAAGATCTGAACAATCCATCTACACAAATATTTTGTCAGAAGCAAGCAATGCGTCTTTTGACAAAATGCCAATACATCTCCTTTCAAATTATATAAAAAAAAACAAAAAAAACAAAACAAAAAAAACAACAAGAACCCCTGCTTGTAGTAATCTGCACTAACCTCATTAACTGTAAAGTAGTATTTCTCAATATTGAAAATTATACCTTAGTTCACTAGTTAAATGTTCCAATTAACCACCATGGTGATTCCACAGCACAGGAAAGGATAAGAGCTGCATCAGTGCTGGACATGCATTTGAGGCTAAACTTATTCCATCCATGTACCAGTCAATGTAAAGTGGTTGAAACTGTAGAAGTTTCACTCTAGTAGCAATTAGTAGTAATAGTAATAAATTAATACATTAGTAGCAATCAGAAACATTCCAGGTAGAGTACACTTCACAATTTGCAGTCATAGCCAGTTTTAAAGCAGCTGCCTCCAAATTTATCATGTAGATAATTCTGAAACTAACACAGTTCTGATGATCAGGTAAATGTTGTTCACCTTTGTTCACCATAAGGATGGGAATTAAGAAAATTGCTTGAAAAAAATATACATTTTACCAATAATACAGAGATAAACTTTTGGTGAGTATGTATAAATGCACAGTATCTTCTCTGGGCCTAGCAAAAACAGGGATAAATGGTTTCACATCCATTTCAAAGTTCTAATTTATCTTACACTTGCATCCCACATACAAGTCATTCTATTATTTTTTGCTCATGATTCAATCTATATTATAAGCTATAGTTGATAAGATAAGAAGCAGATGAGTCTTCTTATACAGCTAACTACCGGTAGCACCAAAGCAGGCAGTGTGAGAGGAAACACAAGCCTGGCAATTGGGCAGGTGTTTGTGCAAAACTAAAAGCTAACCCCAAGAGACAGCATCAACTAGCAGCTTGTCTACACAACACCTCCATTTCTGACAAACCCACAAAACAAGCTTTATATAAAACTATCACAGTAGAATAATTAGTAACTTCGAGTTAACATTAGATTATCTCAATTTGCACGCTTAAAGTACAACCCCATTTCCAAAAAAGTAGGGACACTGTGCAACATGTAAATAAAAACAAAATGCAATGATGTCCAAATCATTTGAACTCTGTATGTAATTGAAAATAGTATAAAGACAACATATCAAATGTTATTATTTTTTAATAAATATATGCCCATTTTGAATTTGATGCCAATAACATGTTCCAAAAAAGTTGGGACGGGGGCAACAAAAGGCTGGTAAAGTTGTGGAAAAAAAAACAAAACACCTGGTTGTTAATTGGTAACAGGTCAGTGATACGATTGAGTATAAGAGGAACATCCCAGAGAGGCTGAGTCTTTCAGAAGTAAAGATGAGGAGGGGTTCACCACTCTGTGAAAGACTGTGCAGGCAAATAATGCAACAATTCAAGAATGACGTTTCTCAACATAAAATAGCAAAGAACCTATCATCTACAGATCATCTACAGTACATAATATCATTAAAAGATTCAGAGAACCTGGAGAAATCTCTGTATGCAAGGGACAAGGCCAAAAACCAGTATTGGCTGGCCAAGATCTTTGGGCCCTCAGGCAGCACTGCATTAAAAAAAAGACATGACTCTGCAGTGGAAATCACTGCATGTGCTCAGAAACACTTCTGAAAAACACTGTCTGTGAAAACAGTTCGTTTTTGCATCCAAAAATGCTAGTTAAAACTCTAAAACACAAAGCAGAAACCACATATAAACAGGATCCAGAAATGCTGCCACCTTCTCTGGGCCCGAGCTCATTTGAGATGGACTGAGGCAAAAATGGAGAAGTGTCCTGTGGTCCAATGAATTAAAATTTGTAATTCTTTTGGGAAATCATGGACACTGTGTCCTCCGGGCTGAAGACCACTCAGCTTGTTATCAGTGCACAGTTCAAAAGCCAGTATTCATGATGGTATAGGGTAGCATTAATGCACAGGGCATGGGTGACACGCACATCTGCAAAGGCACCATTAATGCTGAATGATATATACATATTTTGGCAACATATACTGCCATCCAGATAACGTCTTTTTCAGGGAAGGCCTTGATTGGTCTCCTCAGTTCCCAAATTACCTTACAGGGTGTTGTTAAAAGAAGAGGTGATGAAACACAGTGGTAAACATTCCCCCATCTCAATTTTTTTGGAATGTGTTGTTGGCATCAAATTCAAAATGGGCATATATTTTTCAAAAAACAAAATTTCTCAGTTTCAACATTTCATATATCGTCTTTGTAGTGTTTTTCATTTAAATATAGGGTTTTCATGATTTGCATATTATTGCATTCTGTTTTTATTTACATTCTGCACAGCATTTCCAAAATACACCCTTGCTTACGATATTCACACAGCTGATACAATGACACCATTTATACGATGACTAACTAATGTCACTGTAGGAAGCGGAAAATCAATTACTATTCTAACTTGCAAGTAGTCACTGAACTTAGGATACTGCTTTGTACGTTTGGTTTCAGAAGACTAAACGTTCATAATGTTACAAAGTCTTTTAAACATCTCAAATCTGACCTACCTCAGAGTCGGCCTCTGTTCATAACAATTCTTTGAAAAGGTATATGTATCCATATTACAAAGTAAATCAAGATGCACTGATCTAACTGTTGAGTGTTACATAATTTTATTGCCTTACCTAAATTATGTGCATGCACATACAACCTTGAACATACCTCAAAACTGTATTCCCGATCTGTCTTGCCCCATGAGATGCCCTTCAACACAATCTTCTCTATGTGGACTGCTGAAACGTCAAACACAAGATTGACGATGATTCCAGAGCAGTTAATATCAAGTTGTTTGTTCTTAAAATCTGTTTATTTTTCAAGCTACAGACCTCACACTGTACATGACGTTCCAATTAGGTATTCAAGTGCATGTGGATAAAAACTTCTGTCACTTAGTTTCAGTTCTTCCATTAGGCTATATACAGAGGTGTGCAAATATAATAGGGAACTAAATAAATGAACAGGGAATTAAGTAAACAAACCCTCTTAAATGATAAAGATGACCTTGTGATGATTCTGAAAAAAAGGCTGACAATAGTCATATAGCATTTACCATACAACAAAATTGTCTACCTGTATCTGTGAAGTTGGGAATGTTTTACCCCTATTTAAAGGAACACTCCAGCATTTTCAGCCTCTCTCTATGTACTGAATTTATTTCATGCTACTGATTACCAATTACAATAATTTCGACAAGTTTCCCAGATTTAGAAATGAACAGATAGCTGTTAACTCAAAACTTATAATGGAGGCTACTGGGCCTTTGTGAACAAACATTTGAAATATGTGATTATGTTACACTCATTCAAAACTACAACCGTTACACTCATCAGGATGAAACAGATGTGAAAAAAAAAAGAAACGTTAAATGACAAATTTCTAACAGCCTAAACCACTCCATCATTAATATCACAGCCTTGAATTAAAGCACTTACGGTATGATTAAACTGCATAGTGCATCATTTATCAACTATGGATGTATCAGAGTCCCAAATGACTATTTCTTAGCTATATTTGCACCGTTGGGCTGCGGGATCCAGTATTACCGTAGTGCAGGGAGCAGGGAGCTGTTTGAGATTCAGCCGCAGCACGAAAAGAGGTGCGCCGCTGGATTAGTGCTAAATAAGACTCGCGGACCAAAAAGTACTCATAAAGCGAAAGTTTTTGCACTGAACAGTGTTGTTTTATCATATGATCATTGTTATACGACAAAAAGTTTTAAAAATCATGAAATGACCTTAATAAACAGCAATGAGTGACCGAACATTCTCCTCATGCAGCGGTCCATGGTTGCTTGGTAACAATACCGTACTGTATAGGAACTACATTTCTTGGCAGAATACTTGTTTATGTTGATTATTATTAATAGTAACTCAAATTATTTTCTGCGTTACTGCAATTTTATCACAAGGAAAGGAGTTCCGCTTCGTGTTGTGCTTAAAAACACCCTTCCCGTGATAAAATCGCAGTAACCCACGGCCTCTCGTGGCTTATTGCTTTAATATGGAGGAGAACACTCTGGAACAGCATGAATAGAGGAAATTATCCCAACAACTACACACAGGTATGTCACACAAGCCAATGTTCCAGTTTGTTGTAAAAATGTTGAGTGAGTGTGCCCTAATCCTAAATTACAGCCGTTGCAATATATATGAGACACTAAATAGCTACCAGAAATAAACCAGACAAAGGGCACACATCATCAATATTGTCCTTGACTGCTACAACACATTTTCTACACATTCAGTGAATAAAATCTACATTAGTGAGATCAGCACCTCACTTCTGGACACAAAAATGACTGACTGCACTTTTGTAAGTTGCACCACAACATTGTACCCGTCTATTCCATTTTCAATTGAACAGCCAACTCATAAATCATAAGACAGATAAAACACACACCGTGAGCTTTACCGTCTCTCTCAGCTTTTCTACTGTGATGAAGAGGTGTTAGGTCATGAGATTGTGTCTTCTCGTTCACACAGACCTCTGTGCTTGCAAAGAGGCACTCTTGCGTTCGTGGCCTGCTCTGGAGTAACAAAAGAAAAGAAATGTCAGTGTACAGCTTAATACGTCCGGAATTTGGCACATTGACACAAATGCAAAAAATATACCTATATATTTTTAAATGTATTTACAAAAATGGTAATATTTTAATGTCGTAATTCTAGTGTCATTGTGTCTAGTGCTAGTTTATTATCTATGAACAATATTTGACCAAAAGTCTTTGAGCAAGAAACTGATAAACTGACTGCACACCAATTTCCAGGTAACGAACCTCTACAGGCAAGTCCTAATAAAAATCTCAGCTTGATAACAATAATATTAAATTAAATACAACCAATGAATTTAACAAAATTGATCAAAAACATGTACTGTTATAATACTCTGATGTGGCCAAAGGTTAAATTCTGGTATAGTTTGATAAAGAGCCAAAAAAGGTCTTCCAGAAGAATAACAGGAACATTTGCAGATGCATGAACAAATGGCAGCTGCACAGACAGACAGAGTGACTGCTAAAGGAACACTAAATCCTACAGAAAGTCAAAAGTGAGTACTACAGGGCACACTAAATTAATGAGGGATCCTAATATATACATATCAGCACAAAACAACCTGTGCATCACAAAGGGATAGGAGAGGCGCTAGGAAATTAATAACTAAAAAACTTACAGGTGATTTTTTTTTTCTGCATACAACTTCATTTCACTGGCTCACATCATTATTCTGTATCATCCAAATGCCTCCAAATCACTTCCATCTCTGTTTTGTCTATAAGTTTCATTAACAAGAGCCACTCGGAGAACTCCGTGTTTTCCCCTTTTTGATTCTCGTCTCCTCTCAAAAAATCTTCATATTATCTCGGGCAATTTTTCTTTGCACTTTTGCCCTTCGACTACTGTGAAAAAAATCGTACAAAAAAATGGTCTCCATAGAACTCAGTAGTTTAAATAAACACCAAAGAGACAGGACACAATGTCATCCTTTTGCTTGGCAACTTTGATAGAAAGCTTTACATTAAAGACACAACTGCGAATTGCAGTTAACGTTAACTGAAGACATTTTTCGTGCACTCCTCTTATTCACATAATTTATGCTAAAAGGGTCAAATATCATGTCAATTAATCTTGTCACACTGCTGACGTATGCACATTTAACCTCAATATATTCACTTTTCTGGGTTATTATACTTTCACTAGAAATCAGCGAGTGATTCGACATTTACCACAATTCATTTTTTCACACAACTAAACAATCTCCAAGTATTATCTTACTGATAACTAGGCGCTAAGCAGCTAGCTAGCTACCTCGAAGGGTATCGTGCTAGCGAGAAGGTCTTTCTTGTGGCACCCAATAAGTTTAATTTACACTGCTAGCTGCCTAGATAATTAGCAACACCCAGTTAGCCCATGCTGAGGTATCTACACACGTCTTTGTATCATGCCTATGTAACCATAACGAACATATATTTGACAAATTGTGCACACTGGTGCTAGCATACACGGACAACTTAAGTTAGTCAGCTAGCTAGCTATCGAGCTAAAGCTAGTTGTCTGGCTAGCTAGCTAGCTAACATTAGCTAACTGACCTCTTAGCTCTTATAACAGCCTAGCAAACACTTAATAGTCTTGTTAATAAAGGGACAATGATTAGGCCATGAGTCAGACCCCTAATTCGGACTACATTAAGAACATGTAGTTCATGTTAATTTATGTTATGCTTGATTTAGCCAATTGCAAGCCGGCTACTTTGCAATTAACCATGAACGCTGAGTGGTTAAGTAACCTCACCGCTAAACAGTTAAACAGAAACTCAGTCATCACACACACCTGGGTATGGGTGTTATGTTGGTTGTAATGATGTCTGGTCTGCTCCCCAAGAAGAGCATGCTCGAATTTTTCAAGTTGCATTCGCAGTTTGTCTCTTTGATGAAAAAGAAAGGCAGGGTGAAGTGATGCCATGGTGAAAAGGACCGCTAGCTGCTCCAAGAATCCAGACCGTGGTTCAATAAATGGTCCGAAACCACGGCTCTGTGTGCCATCTCCATCTGAATCCCCAGACAGTGCACGAAACGGATCAAACGGAGAGTCTGGGTAGGAAGACACTAGAAGGGCGGGATCCACATGGCTCAGTATCCGAAATAGTACCCCAGCACATTCCCTGTTATCAGATCCCAGGAGAGACAGACAGACCAGTAGTTTAGATCTCGTCACTGGGTCAATTGCATCTGTCAAAAGACCAAGATCGCTTGGAGAATTCGCTCTTATTTCAAAGTCTCGAAGAACGTGGAAATCTTTCCTAGCAAGGTCCTCCAGACAGGAGCCTAAGAAGCGAAGTTCTAAAGGCTGGCACATATGAAGCAATCCGTACATAAACTCGATACGCTTAGCTGGCTTCAGGTGCAAGCCAAACCATTCATAAACAGCTTCTTTAGTCAAAAAGGGAAATCCTGGTTCCTCAGTAGTTTCCTGAAGTCTGTCAGTGGCCGTTGTAAAGGCCGATTCGGAAAGAAGCTCGGGGTGTTCCCTCTCGTCCTCGGCCGTATCGTCTCCCTCCTCCGCCTTTTTCATGGGTAGCTGCATTTTTAGCATTATCAGCTCTACGACAGTACCACTGATGAGAAAATTAAGGCTGTGGGTGCATTGCTCGGTCGTTTAGCTCGGTATTAAATAAAAACTATCCGTTAAATACAGACGTTATTAGACGGTTAAACAACTGTTGTGTTAATATCAAAATATCTTTCGTCTGTGGAGCCCTACATCCCATCTACGCTAGCACTCGACCACTCTGCTCTGGCTTCTTGAAAAAAGTGCTGTCAATCATTAACAAGCTCCGCCCCTATCCTAGTCACGCTGGGTCCTAAAAACCGAAACCCGTGGCAGACTTTGCATTTAAAATGAAGGCGTAAGGGTCAGAATTAAGCTTGGTTCCTCCACATATTGTAATGTACATATTTCCATAAACACTAAGTTGAATCTGGATGATTTTAGCTTGAATCTAGACAACATTTACTCAGTTAAAACAAGTACTATTACGCGATGAGTTAGTTTCTTAGACAAAGATTAAGTCGTGTGCTAATACTCATTATCTTTACGTTAAAGAACATTTTTACTTGTTGGGTGATTATGTGACGATGACTATGCTGAATTATTTTCAGGGAACAGCCAATATGTGTGCTGTGTAATGGATGCTAGTTTCCTTCTGGTGAGTGTTCATTTCACAAAATGTTTGGTATCAGCGGTGACAAGATCTGCCCCATACAAATTAGAGTAGTCACTGTCTACATACCATGGATGATCAGTCTTGTCCGCAAAGGCTGCACGTTTTAATTCCAATCTAGCAGGAGCACACCTGATTCCACTTGTTTTATCAGTTAAGGGTTCCCACACGTCCTGGAAATTTATAGACTAGTTTTCCAGTCATGGAAAATCTAAAGAAAAATCATCAAATGTCATGGAAATATTAGTGAAAGCTTGTGGGCCATTAAGCCACAAAGATCGCATACTTTATGCAGTATTTTTTCTTGCATCCTCTAGTTTTACATGGACAGAATGGCAGGTAAAGCAAGGCTACATGAACACATGCCAGCTTCTTGCAATGTGTAATGTTCACTTATAGTATGAAGAACTTGGAATCAAATTATGATTGTTTGAGGAATGGTTTGTTTGACCGCATATGTCAGTATATCACATTCAGTAAGGGGTTTCTTGATTAGTTGGTCTCAGTCTTTAAACAACTGACTATGTGAGCTTCTGCTTTGCTGGAATGAAAACCTATCACATTGGCCCTTTCTGGATAAGACTGAGCAGCCCTGGTCTGTATGTTTTGTATGTGGTGCAGAAGTACCATGATGCTGTTACTATTAATAAACTGGGTAGTAAGAATGTGCAGATGCTTTAGATGTTAATTAGTATGTTTCAGGTGTAGATTCTGCCCTGGGAACAGAAGGAACCCGTGAGATGTACACATGCACAATGACCTAAGGAAAACCCCAGTGGTACTATAAAGAACATGGTAAGCAGGAGTGTTTGAAGAAGATATTTCTACTTTTTGCTTCTACTGATATACTTTAAATTCTGCTGAAATTCCTCCATATGGCAACTGAAGGAAAACATACTTTTAGATGAGTAGTGAAACACCTTTCTTAACTCACAAGCTGGTTACAAATTAGAGCTAACATCACTATACCAGCTACAAGTGGGATGCATATTTTTAATCTTTGAAGCTACAATTTTTCGAATTGAACAAAATGGAGGATGATGTCCTGTTCTGTTTCCTGACCATAGAGCTGTTGCTTCACTGTGATCAGTTGTGGAATCCTTGGGCATTACATGTAAGCATAAATCTAAATTAAATTCACATATGATTGTCTCTGAAAATGTGCTGTTAGAAGACACAATGAGGTGCAGGTTTTTGACAAACTTGACCAAATGGAAAAAAATGACACAAAACAACTGTTTTCTTGGAACCAAAGGTGTGTTTAATTCAAATACTGAGATTAAAAATGAACTAACATAAATATTGTCTTCACTGCTGACATTTTTGAAATATCACAGTTTGGCCGTAATAGTTGCATGAACACATGAGGGGCGCTCAATACAAAAAGTGCTATAATTCAGAAATAACAACTTTGAGGGAATTGCTTATGACAGAATAGAAGCTCTTTAAGAGGACACTATATATTATATAATGAAATCGCTCAATTTACCTTTAATCTAAACTTAATTCAGTTGAGTTTTTGTTAAGGCATAAAATAATGAGGTGTACTGGAAGTGACCTAAGTAAGTAAGTAAGTAATATAAAATACAAAACAAGAAAAAAAAAGCAAAGCCCACAGAACATACATCCATACAGACATTTTAAGCTCATATGATTTGTTGCAAGATGCCTTGTTACTTTTCTTTTGCATTTTTAATTCCAGGTGTCTAAGATTAACTGGAGTGACCGATTAAGCAATATTTCTTGTTCTCACGATTTTATTATTATTTCAAGAAATTCCTATCACAAAAAACGGCCCATCCCCGTTCCCCAACACACACGAACGGCGTTCTGTTCTGAGACTTTTATTTTGAAACGTAAGACTTCAGGAACTTCACAAACATGGCAACAGAAACAAGAGTTCATTCAAGTCTTGTGGCTTTAAGGCGTACAAAGCCCCGAATGCGTTAGATAATGCTATACGAACGTTTAGCATACGAAGGACGACAACGATATAAACTTATTTCGTTTGGTTATTCCATTCTGATCAGACGTCCAAAGCACTATGGCTCACATTGCTGATAATTCCTTAACCAAACTGTTTAATCTGCGGGTGCTGAGCAGCCTCGCGTTCGTTATACGTTTACTTCTGGTCGGCTATGGGGTTTATCAAGACAAAACCATGGTGGTCAAATACACTGACATTGACTATCACGTGTTCACAGATGCTTCAAGGTTTGTGACACAGGTGAGTTTCCTTGTAGAGCAGTGGTTACCAGTCCTGGTCTTGAAGTACCTCTTGTCCTGCACGTTTTAGTGTTTCCACTGCTCCCAATGCACCTGATCCAACTAACCTTCCCATTAACAAGCCCTTCATGACTTGAATGACATGAAGTGGGTATGATAAGAGCCGGAAAAACACTCAAATATGCAGGATAAGGTGTATTACACGAGCAGCGTTGGGGACCTATATTGTAGAGTAATGGATAGGCATGCTGTAAGTGCAGTCATCTATTCGTGAGGTTGTCCGATTGTTTGTTTTTCAAAGCAGATTGTCACAATGACGATATAGGCTAGACCTAAGAAGATCTCAGACATAATTTTTAGTCTGTAACATTTTCCAGTAATCCTGAAAAATGTACATATTTATGCGTAGTCACATGATGTTGTATTGCGTTATATAGTTATACATAGTAATATTGCACTCTGCTTATTCTAGTCATTATTCTTCTTGGTTTGAAGAATAGGGAATTCGGTATGTGCAAGGGTGGACAAAATAACAGAAACACCACATAGATAAGTCATTTTAGCTTGAATGCTAAAAAACAGCTACAAAAGTGTCACTTTGATATGTTTTCAAAGTAACATGAGGCAGCTAAACAGATCATTGGTTGCATGTCAAAGTTCTTAGACAGAGATAGACTGACAGTTAAAGGGGAATTCCATCAATTAAAAAAAATCTACATAATAAAATCATTAAGATGTAAACAAAGTCATTCAGAGAGGTTTGATATAAAATGCTCCGTTCTATAGTCAGAATTGTTCAGAGTGCTAGTGATGGGAACCAGACATCTGAGGAGTTAAATTGGGATAAAATAATAAAAACAGACATAATAAAAAAATAATAATGGAAATTGTAAAACAATAGTCAAGCAGCAACTAAACAGTAAAAGCTTATAATAAAGTACAACCCCATTTCCAAAAAAGTTGGGATGCTGTGCAAAATGTAAATAAAAACAAAATGCAATGATGTGCAAATCATTTTTTACCCTATATTTGATTGAAAATAGTACAAAGACAACATATCAAATGTTGAAACTGAGAGATTTTATTGTTTTTTGAAAAATATATGCCCATTTAGAATTTGATGCCAACAATACGTTCTAAAAAAGGTGGGACAGGGACAACAAAAGGCTGGTAAAGTTGTGTAATGCCAGAAAACACCTGGTGGTTGATTGGCAACAGGTCAGTAATATGATTGGGTATAAAAAGTGCATCAGAGTCAGAGTAAAGATGAGGAGGGGTTCACCAGTCTGTGAAAGACTGTACAAGCAATAGTGCAGCAATTCAAGAATAACGTTTCTCAACGTAAAATAGCAAAGAAGTTTTGCTTTTCATCGTCTATGATGCATAAAAACATTAAAAGATTTAGAGAATCTGGAGAAATTTTTGTATGCAAGTAAAACCAGTATTTGCTGCCTGTGATCTTTGGGCTCTAAGGCGGCACTGCATTAAAGACCACCCAGCTTGTTATCAATGCACAGTTCAAAAGCCAGAATTCATGATGGTATAGGGGTGCATAAGTGCGCATGGCATGGGTGATGTGCACATCTGTGAGGGCACCATTAATGCTGAACGATATATACATGTTTTGGCAACATATACTGCCATCCAGATGACGTCTTTTTCAGGGATGGCCTTGCTTAATCAGCAAGACAGTGCCACATTCTGCATGTATTACAACAGCATGGCTCTGTATTAAAGAGTCCGGGTGCTAAACTGGCCTGCCTGCAGTCCAGACCTGTCACCGCTGAAAACATTTGGCGCATTATGAAATGAAAAATACAACAAAGGAGACCCTGAACTGTCTCCTCAGTTCCCAAACGCTTACAGAGTGTTGTTAAAAGAAGAGGTGATGAAACACAGTGATAAACATGCCCCATCCCAACTTTTTGGGAACATGTTGTTGACATCAAATTCAAAATGGGCATATATTTTTCAAAAAACAATAAAATTTCTCAATTTCAACATTTGATTTGTTGTCTTTGTACTATTTTCAATGAAATATAGGGTTTTAATGATTTGCACATCATTGTGCTTATTTACATTTTACACAGTTTTTTGGAAATGGAGTTGTAGTGTACCACAAGTTTTCTTCATAAGACTCATTTATGACTGTAAATCATTGTAAGGCATTAAAAGAATACGGCAGTTTTTCCACTACCACACCAGTATAGTTGGCCGAGCAGTTCAGAATGGTGTCACTGGCATATAAATGTACTTTGCAATCAACAATGGAGGTGCGAATGTCATTAATATAGATATCATATACTGGTCTGAGGTGGTCTCAGAGGGACAACACGTTGCTGTCTCTCAGAGGGATCATTTCTAATCCAGTTATTAGCACTACGGTCAAACCCAATATTTTGCAGGCTTTTTAAAAAGTCAGGAATGTTCAACTGTATTAAAGGCTTTAGAGAGATGAATGAAAAATACTGCACAATGTTTCTTTTCATCAATGGCAGTGAAAAGATGAGTCTAGCAGCAGATATTGTGCTATGCTTTTCTCTAAAACTAGACTGGTTGACAGACAAAACTGAGTTTAGATGGAGGAATGTCTGAGGATCATTCACTAAAGATTCTAGGATTTTGGCTAATCATGATAATTTCAAGGTGTGTCTAAAGTTATTAAGATCTGAGGTGTCACCTCCTTTATGGAGTGGAATTACGTGTGCTGTTTTCCAGATTTCTGGGAATTCTGCTTGATAAAATAGATGTCCAACAGCTGCAAAGTGAGTATTAAATGCTTGCCAGAGCTCTTTCTGATCAGAATGTGATGATTATTAAGTAAGATACGGGTTGGAATAGGCACCCATTTGTTTTGAGTGAATTAACTCTCTTCTGGAACCTGAAGGAGTTTCAAGTGAAATTTGTAAATAACTGCAGGTAAAATTCTGCTTTAGCTTTTCTGATGTAGGAAGTACATTTAATCTTGAGCTGTCTGAATGTAAACCATTGGTCTCTCTGTCCCCGTTTCTTCTTTTGAGGGCCCATTCTTAATTTCTTGCATTGAGCAAGGAGGATTTTTCAGTGTAGAGCAAGAGATTAGATCTATTGTGAATTCTAACATGTTTATAAGAGGCATGCTTGTTTATCAGAATCACTAAGTTTCTCTACAATGAACCATTTCACATAAAGCCGAATGAATGTGTTTACGTCTCAATGATGGAATTCCCCTTTTGCAGGACAGTTGGTAAATGAAATCTGTGATTTTTAAAACAATACAAGTTTTAGCCTTTCTGAAAGCAAAGATTGTTATTTTTCCACCACTTCGTGTTATGGTATGGGTTAAAGGAATATTTAAGCTTTTTCTTTCGGGTCTCCATTTGCTGCATCTGTATAATACCGTTAATTCCTACAGAGAATAATTTGATTTGTTTCCCTGTATTTAGAAAACAGTTAATAAACTGTTCATTTGAAATTTGCTTATAATTGAAGCCTTTGGGCAGTTATTATAGTTGCATTTCAGGTCAACAGGTTTTTATGTTCTTTCCTATGTACAGGGAAATCTGTCTAAATAATCTACTCAGTTTGATCTATTATGGTGATCTACTGTATGTTACAGATGTGGCAGATAGATATTAGAATCTGGAGGATTCCTTTGAGAATTGAGATGATTTATGACGCTGTTCTTTATATTTCTTTAGAGCGAGTCTCCATACAACAGGTCCACCTACCGCTACACTCCACTCCTCGCGTGGATGCTGTTGCCCAATATCTATGCAACCCCACACTTTGGGAAGCTGCTGTTTGTCACTTGTGATGTACTCTCAGGGGTCTTGTTGTACCACATCTTGTGTCTTCGAGGTTTATCCAGTGATGCAGCCTGTCGTTTCTGTGCTCTCTGGCTGCTTAACCCTTTACCGATAGGTGTGTCCACACGTGGGAGCGCTGAGGCACTGTTGTCTCTTTTGGTCCTCTCCACACTCCTGTGTCTTGAACTAAAGAGACTTTTTATGGCAGCATTTTTCTATGGACTGTCTGTCCATATGAAAATCTACCCTGTAACATATGCCCTTCCCATCGCTCTCTACATATCAACTCATGGGAAGTTGGAGGCTCAGAAGAGAGATGTTTTCAGGATATTGCAAAGGCTTTTCAATAAGGAATTGGTCCTGTTCGCAGCTGTGGCAGGAGCTGTGTTTTTCGGGCTAACTTCAGCCTTTTATCTCTTGTAAGTAAAAATGGGGAAAAAAAACATATGTTGGGTGTTTGTTATTTTGCCAAAGGAAATCCAATTTTGCATTGAATGACTGTATGCATTTGTGGTCAGTTTTATTAATTCATTTGCTACTCTCTGGTAATTCTTCAGGTATGGCTGGGATTCCCTTCATGAAACCTACCTCTATCATTTAACAAGACGGGACATCCGTCATAATTTCTCTCCCTACTTCTACATGATTTACTTGACAGCGGAGAGTGAATGGAGCTTGGTATTGGGCCTGGTGTCCTTCCTACCCCAGCTTGTCCTCGTGCTCCTCACCTCTCTGGCCTTCTATGCGGACTTGCCATTCTGCTGCTTTCTCAACACAGCCATTTTTGTCAGCTTCAACAAAGTCTGCACCTCACAGGTAGTGTCATGGTCAACTTTGTTTATCATGTACCTTATAAACTGTCAACTCAGTATGCAGGGTGATTCAAAAAGATTCATCCGATTTCAAAGCGCAATATTTTTACAACATTGAGGCGCCTAGGAACCAATCACATACCAATTGAAAGAGGGGGCCATAGAGTTTCTGACTGTCTCCCTTCAGTCTGCGAGGAGATGGCGACCCCTGAGCAGAAAGCGTTTTGGCATGGAGTCATACACTCCATGCCCTAGAAGACTTCAAGCTAGCATCCAAAAAAGGCATATGCAACAAAATTCTAACCTAAATACAGTACTACACACTGACCTACATAAATGAAATAGACACTAATGTCTGTCTCTTTAATATTTCAGTATTTTTACTACCTTATTTAAGTTTTCTTATTTGAGTTTCACTTAGCAAACCTGGCTGTTATTGCTTGTTGTTATAATTTTCTTGATGCATACAAATGGAAAAAATGATGAATTCAGTAATAAATAGACAAGGCATAAATTGTATTTAGATGGTGTCTATATCTGTTTTGCTGTTATCTGAACTGAGTTTATGGAATGTCTTGTGTTCACAGTATTTTCTGTGGTACCTGTGTTTCCTGCCACTCATTCTGCCATGTTTGAGGCTCTCTATAAAGCAAGGGATTGGACTTCTACTGCTGTGGTTTGCTGGCCAGGTACAAAGTTTATTACTACTTTACATTAGGTTGATAGTGTCCTTTAGAATGATTGAAAACTTAGTGGGTAAATTTTACTATGGTTTATGGAATATATTTGATTTTTTTTTTGCCACAGGTTCATAGATGCTACAGTTATATCAGCATTTTTTTGGCATTTCATTGAAATGAAACAATAACAATTCCTGAAAACCTGTACAGAATTACAGTTTTTAGATTATTTACGTCAGACAACGGTGACAGACTCCAGTAGGACTTTCATTCTGGAGAAGTAATAGTGCCTCCTTATTCACCTTATGAGTGTTCCTCTTCACTAGAAGATGATTGATTTTTATGTATTTATATATGACCATATATAATCACTAGTAAAATAACATGAGGCATTTCACATTTTAAACAAAATGTGACTGGCCAATGTACATGTTCTAAATCTCAGCCGAAAATGGTGTTCCATAAAAACATTGTGATGTCCTTCAACTTTGTGAGCAAGTTAATGATTTTATGAACTTAGCATTCCTTATAACAAAATCTTTATACAACCAAATGTTTTGCCAATAAAGGAGGCCAGAATGTTGTTTTATTTACTGGAATTAAATGTAATATTCGATAGAATAACACGGCAACAGTGTGGTTGTAATTTGAGAAGACTTCACGCGTACAAAAAACTGAATGCTTTTATAAATAAAAAATTATTATCAATAACTAATGTATTATACTCATAAATAACTAATTGTTATTAATAAATAATGATTACCATGAATGTTAGGTAGCTAACTCTAGCTATAGGAGCTAGCTTGCCATTGGGCAACAAAATCAAGTTCTGTATGGCAACAGCTAACGTTAATATTAACGCCAGCTAATGTTATTTGTCTGTTAATGCATAGCTGGAAACTGTAATGATATTACTGAAGGTAGAGCTGACAGAATGGATTATCCTCTCATCAAACGAGTGCATCACCTTTATTCTTCCTCTGCTTCATAGTTTTGAATATTTCAAGTCATTGTCTCTGTGTCTTCACTATAATAGCGTTCACCCCAGTAATGGTTCATATCCTCTCATCACTTGTTACTGAGCAGCAAGAGTAGGTCTACTTTGTTTACGCTATATAGCTAACTAGTTGACGCAGGACAAAAACTGGATTTCAAAAACTGCATATGTACTATACACTGTAAAAGGCAGAACAGGGCAGTTGTTGATTTTCTTACATTTGCTTTAGTAGACTTTGCTTATATTTGCTTATAAAGCAAAATATCGCTTTTGATCATCTGAAATATTTTACTTTGTTTTGCATTTCTGGGGGTTGACAAAACATTGGTTACTGTGTGGGCAAAGCTTTTTTTTTTAATAAATAGGCATTTTTGCTGTTTAACTATAAAATCATTATTTTATCATTGATGAGCTTAAATTATGAATAGGTTCATTGCATTCATTAAACAACATGGTTCTTGTTACTCATATACACTATTGAAACTTTTTTGTGAACTTTTAAAAAATTGTTAAAATCTCCCTTTACAATGGACATCAAAGTGTCCGTTGAATGTTTTTGTGTATTTATTCTGACATGGGGTGAAATTTGCATTGATTTTATTTTTGGTTTATTTGCCTTAATAGGGTTTGTGGCTGATGCCAGCCTACTACTTGGAGTTTGAAGGACACAATACATTTGTGTACATTTGGTTGGCTGGTCTGCTGTTTCTCTTCAACAACTCGTTTATAATGGTCCAGATCATCTCCCACTACATACCAGAGACAGTCCAGCGAAGAAAAAAAAATGAATAAAAGACCACTGTGAATAAATCGTTGTGTAATGAGGCTGTCTTTGTCTGTCTGCCTCAGATTGTGAAGCACTATTATAAGAATCCCCTTTCTTTTACTTCTGATACCTACATGCAGTGGATATGTACAGTACTACGCAAAAGTCGAAGACCACCTTTTTTAGTAATGTCTTCTTCACAGCTACACATTTCAGACCCTTAGGTTAAGTTGTCCTTAGCGTTGAGTGGTCCACCAGGTCTAGAAAGTATTTTCCCATTTGAACTGCATATTGGAAACTCCTGTTTTTTATGACTAATAAGTTTTTAATACTTATTTTTCCTTTGACTATTCCTTATGAAAGTGGATTACCATGTTTCTAATCTCCTCTCCTTACTGTCGGTGCACTTCCCAAAACTCTTGACGTAATTCTCAAAATGGTGCCTCAAAACTCACAGGATTTATCACATTTCTATTTATTTCATTTCTCTTTGAATGCAAAAGAATAAATGCACTTCTTCTTAAACACACTTTTGGTTTACATATGCGCCTTTATAAAAATAAATGCCCAATAAAAAGCCCAACAAACAATGCAGCATAAAATCATGCAGAACAATGAGGTGCCAGAGCTTTTGCAGGTAACACGTACACCTCCAAAGTTCAGTGTTAGGCATCATTTGCATTTTCTGCTTGTCATGATCCAAGCAATCCCATTCTATAACACATTCAATTACATTAAAGGAGAGTGATACAGATGGAGCTTGGTTATACAAATTCAACACCGTCATAAAACAAACTCTGCGAAATAACCTTGTGCTTCCAACTCAGCGAACAACACTGATGACTTTTGCCAGCTAATATTAATACATTTCAATCCTACATTTGCATAGTGTAATGTTTTACGATATTCATATATACTATATTTGTATTGTTCAAAAATGGCTCGGTGTACTGCTCTGTGATCTTACAATACATTGTGTACATAGTGTATTTTGTAATTATTTTTTTTTAACTTTAGTGGTCTCTCAGTATTTTCAAATAAATTAGTTGCTTCTCTACTCACTACCATTAGGTGGCATAGAAGTTTAGGTCAAAAGACACTGCCAATGCAGGATGTTCCCTGAAGCGCAGTTCCTTTAACATGGCAGCAGATGGCGATCAGTAGCAGTTAATGAGGCTGATGTTGTAGGGACCTATCCTCAGACGCCCTGTGTCAAATTGAGGGCAAGCATCCTTCAATATGAAGGAAAACAAACAGTAATAGAGACTGCTTCTTTTCAGCTTGGATTATAAAGATTAGAGTATGATTATTCCTCCAGTAGATAGTAGATGCCAATGTTGGGGAACATGCTTGACCGTGTGTTTGTGTGTGTTTGGAGTGTAAATCTCTGATCTCATAACAATTTGATTCTTTAGGAAACAATTTTTCATGAAATTGCACATTTCAACAGGTTTGGTTATTTATAATTCAGAATTACCTAAAAAAAATACATTTGAGTACTGAAATTCAGACAATAAGTAAAAAACTCTTTGTCTTTCTTTCTTTTTCTTTCTTTCTTTCTTTCCATCAGTTTTAAAAGGTGCTAACAGTGTACTTGAGTGTATGAAGGAGACAAAACACAAAAAGACACACGGTGCGCCTTGTATGGACTCACGCCCTTGTATAGGCTTTGAGCTGCAAATTGTCAGAGCTAGCCTGTCTCTATGAAAAACATGCATACAACTGTTCAAATAAGTTGTCAAGTCTTCCTCAGGCCTTGTTGAAAGCCTACATTAAATCAAGCGTAGTTTATTGCTCAGAGGTGGGTAAAGCCTAAAACCACAGTCAAGGAAAAGTATTGGAACTTAATATTACATAATGAAATAATGAAGTGAAATACTGCTGCAAAAACAACTAGAGTAGGAGTAAATAGGTTTAAAAAAAAACTATCAAGTGAGAAAAAAGGACTTAAGTACTGAGATTCCAATAGAACAGGCATGCCAAACTGGGGACCTTTTACGGCAAAGCGCTGTGGAGATCACCATTTACCCTCATCTAACGTTCTTTATTCAGTTCAAGGCCTTGAAGGTCTTGCTAATTAGCTGATGAGCTGAATCAGGTGTGTTTAATGAGGCAGTGTGCTGAAGTCTGCAGGGTTTTGGCACATGAGGACTAGAGCCTGACACGTGCAATAGAACTAGTACATCTAAAAAGACACTGCCAATAAGGAATATCCTGTATTGGCAGTGTCTTTTGACATAAACTTACCACCTTATGGTAGTAAAGTGACTAATACTGAGACACCACTAAAGTTACAAAATTAATTACAAAATACACTTTACAATGTATTGTAGGATTTTCCAGTTCTTAGTACATCCAGCATCCATTAGTGTAAGAACTGAAATTTGTTAAGCACTTCTCTTTAAGTAAATATAACAGTTTACTCTCTACATTTGGCGTTGTTAGGTGTTTTCGCTGATAAAAATAGAGAAAAAGTGGGCCTCGACTCTGTCCCTCACATAAGAAAAACGCATAAAATGGTTATGAATACACAGCCTGATAACTGAGACATTGTTTTAAGATTTTTACATAAGATTTTGGTTTAAAATATTTTTTAAAAGTCCATCCGTGCGGAGGTGTGCAGGAAGTTGGATATAGTGCCCAAAGAAAGCATAATCTTTTAGATTTTTACCAGTATTTTAACATTTTCAGCAGTGCATATGAAAACTCAGACGACACATGTAGGTTCAGTGTTTTTTGGAAATCAAATAAAGCCCTTTTATTTACAATATAGACTTTGCAACCCCTGGTTTATATCACCACCAGCATAAAGAAATCCAAGTTGGTTAATTTCTCCATTTCTTTTCTATTAGTTTCAAATGGGTCAGTCTTTTACAAAAAGATGACTTATAGTCTCTAGCTGTACACTTAAAGGCATAACAACAAAAGTATGTTAGAAACTTAAGAAACTTTGTTAGTCCTACAAGGGAGCTACAAAGAAATAAATGTGTGACACATACGGACCACATGATCTCTAGTGTTTACCAGAGATGTGGCCATTAGAACATTTAACCATGGGGAGGCCAGTAGTACAGCTCCTTCAGTGTTTTTGAGTGGTATTTAAAGGTTCTGGGAGTTGATATGAAGGTCAGAATGTGCCTGAGGAAAGGATCATAGAGCCTCCCTTCCACTAAGCATGCTGGGCTTTTACCTGCTAGCCTGCTGTTGCTGTATAAGTGGCACAGCTCCCCTGGCTCAGAGAACCACACTCTCCTCTAAAACCTGGCCTATCACTTGTTTTCCAGTCACACACACCTGCTGAACTCCACTTAATCTCTTTAGTGTTTTGGATGCAGTAGTAAACTCTGCAGTTGCATGCAAATGGTCATGTAATCCATCAGACATGCACACACACAGGCTGCACCTTGTTTAAAGACGGGTGGAAAACAAGCAAGAGCTTCAGTGCTAGATGCTACATTTCCTACAATATATGACATGAAGCTTTGATTGCATTATATTAATACAATCATTTTATATTTGTCATTATACAGGGTAACTGTAGGCCCTTGTGGCCAGAGCTCTGTGTGTGAATTTTAAAGAGACAATAATAGGTTTATGGCCTGTGTAAATCTTTGGCCTTACCTGGACTTGACGTGTGCTACTGAGGAAATCCACAGGGTTATAGATCTGTCTAAATCTGCAATTTATCTAGTTCATACTGGGGAACTGTGTGGACTTTTTGTGAACTTCCAGAGAAATTTGGGATGCAGAAGGTCTTCCAGTGTAAGTAATACACAATTCATGTGCCATCACTGTGTATTTATTTTCAGATGCTGGTTGATCAGTTGTTTCTATTAATTCAGCTTTAAGTGTTTGAAGTTCCCTCTCATTAGCACTTTTTATACACTTGCAGACATGCAGATGTGATGTTTGAATAATGACATTTCACTTGGCACTTCAATAAACATTGCAGGAAGTAACCTGAAGTTTAAGTGAGCAGAGTACACAAGTGCGGTGTCTGGGGATTTGGAATAGGCTTTAGTCAGTATTAGAAAATGCAAGATACACAACACTGTTAGAGTATAATATTAGAAGACTACAAGAGTAAAATTAGCAAAATGACGACTCATTTGTGTACAATAATTTTATTGCATCATTTCAATTTTGACAAATAGAAGATAGAAAAAGTGAGAACATGCAATTTAAGAGTCGCTGCTTTGCAGCTACAGTCTCCCAAAGACGTGACGTGTCACTTCAGGTAATATTTTTGTAAATAGATAAAGAGGGGTAACGCGCCTTTTTAAAAACTTCCTGGAACAGTGCAAGGCCCTAAATAGTTCTGGTAAGACAATAAATACAAATAGTTCTATATCAAATGAGTTATACAATATAAAAACTGAACAAACTAGAAAAGCAGAAAGGGAGACCAAATTTACAATTGTGCATATTGATTGGACACTGAATTAAGAAATTTACTAGTCTGAGTAGTGCAACTTTAAAAATGAATTATTTAATGATTGCAGCAAACACAATATGTAAAGTTGTATGTGTGTGGGTGGGTGGTTCGAGGGAGGGCGTGTCTAATCACTATGATAATCGTGTAGGGTTAGTTGGGACTATTAATGTGCTGATATACAGTATTATATATAAAAATAACATTAATGGCAGGGAATAGCATTAGCAATGACCCTTACTCTCGTTTTAGCCTTTGGGCAGCTTATATACATTGGGCTAAGGGCACTGGTCTCCAAAGTTTCCATCTGGAAATTAAATAGCAATTTACGTTTTTTAGTACCTTTAAAACTTATCAGAACTTTTTTTGCCTGAAATACTATTTAAAAGCGAGCATGCAACACACAAACGTATTACTCACCTTACCAGGTAACATTAGTGTAAAACTTGATATTTGCAAGACATTTTTCCACATCACAGTGTATAAAACTAGTACAAATACTAACACAGACATAATGTGAGAGCCAGAAAAATAGTAGGATATCATTCTATCAAAAGTGCATACAATAAAAATATGTGGGGGAAAATTTTTTTTATTAAAAGAAAGCTTGATGCTCACTCTTTTACTACAATATCACAAAATATCCCTGCCCCTGAGCCATGTTCTGAAATGTAAAGAATGTGTGCGTATAAATGGCTTAGTTCTGTATGCTTGTCTGTATTAGCCGGGCTACTGAAAATATTGCTTTTCATGCGAATATAGTATGTATGGGTCAATAAAAAATGGGTTCTTCATTACAAGTGTTTGCTAACAAGTCATAATTAAAAATGCTGTCGTGGTAAACCTTTGGTTTAAGCATCTTGTTAGTTGATGATAAAAGAGGTAGCTTTCACTTCAACAGACAAGCATCCAGTATGTGTTCCACTATTGCTGAGGTATTCGGATCTAGACCTCAATTCCTTAATTAAGTCATTTCTAGTAGTTAACTGACCTATGCATGCTCTGCCCACAGATGCTTAGCTGGGTCCCTTCAATCTGATGAGAAATTGTGGCACTCATTGTTAAAGTCACTACATAATGTTGAGTTTTCAAGGTAAAAAAAAGCTAATCACTTAGCTAATCAAATCTAGGCAACTAGGAAACGATGATGACAATGTTGCCACCATTGTCTCATTAGCTTGATTACACTTTTTTTTTTTATTACATCCAATCTATCCAAACCGTGTCCACTTTCACATGAATACAAAATAAACATGATTTGAAATTAGAATGTATGAACATTTGTTGGCAGAGTATGGAAAGTCAGTTAACCTAGTTGTCCACTTTAACACACCTGGTTCCTAGGTAAAGGGCAGGTGGTAAATCTGTATTACCCAGACCTTGAGGGATGTGATCTGAATAGTTATGCACTATTGCATATAGATATATGGATTAGTTTTGGGCTGCCCACCATTCATTATGCAATTTGGCATAATATTCCTCTGTACGCCCATCTGGTCATGTTCGCCGTCATGCCAGGGTGGAGAATCCATGGGCTCACGCTTAATGGAGTGAAGCAGACCCTGCCCTTTGAACTCATATCCAAGTTTGTAATCCTGCTGCATGTAGCCTTTGTGTTCTACAGGCCCACCGCCATAGCTGTCCATGCAGTTAGTGCTTTGGCTGCTGCAGAGTGGGTCTGGGTGTCCCAGCTTCTGGGGGCTGAGAGGTTCTAGATCTTTATTGAACCCACATTTTGGCAGCCGTGCATTTATACCGCAGACATTTTGATAGTGGCCGCTGTATACCTGGCCATTACTCCCTTTGCCCCTCTGGCAGGGTGAGTACTGTTCATAGTAGCTATCTTCTGCTTTCATTTGTAGGCTATCGTAAGAGTTTGGATAACCCTCTCTGATTGTCCATGGCCTGCCATAAACATCACATCCATTTTCAGAGTCAGAGTCCTGCTCAACCTTAACTGGAAACTCACCAATTACACGTTCATCATAGCCTTGACCTTGGCCTTCATAACAGCCATTTTCGCTCTTGATGCTCTCCACATAACAACCATCCACTTCTCCTGGTTGTAGAAGACTTCCATAGAGCTTTGGAACATAATGTTCTGCCCTGTTGTTGTGATAACCTGGGGACATTCTGTAGGGCTTCCCGTAGTGACTGTACTTGCCTAGTTTGCCGCTCGGCAACAAGTTTACTCCATGATTCGTGCGAACAGACCCACAAGAGGCTCTCAGGGGCCACATGGTGTCCATGTGACGGACTTTCTGGCCACCAACAGTGGACTTGCAATAGTTGAGAGGCTCCTCTTGGCTGTAGTAGTCCTCCATCTTGTACTTGAAGTTGTCTTTAGAAAGAGGTGCCCAGGGGGTATGGTGGCGTGTGGTAGGAGTGGGGCAATTAATCAAAAGCGTGTCTCCACCTTCATTCATTGCTGACTGTCGTCTTAAGTGCTCTTCTCTGTCATTGCAGGCAAACACACAAAAGGAGAATGAAAATAGTGTTACAGAAAAGAATATACAGCTTTCTTGGTCAGACAAAAAATAGATGTGTGTAGATTTACATTTTTTCAGGAATCATCAGAGCAAAAACAGTGACTGTCAAAGGGGCCAAAAATGTACAACAAAGGTTTAGCCATACACTTTGTACAGTGCTAACTGGTGTGGTGTAAGCTTCTATTAATTGTTATGCACATTGGCCTAATAACTGTGCAAAACCAAACATATCTTGATTGATTACTTTTGAGGTACATGGAAGATGGGTAAATTTGCTCTTGTTTTGAAGAGCAGTTTAAACTATGCAAAAACTCAACATAAGATGGCGATTCATACCTATGATCTAATGCTGTGATCATGTTCATGTCTGTGTTTTTGTGCTTGCTCCTCATCATCATACTCTTCATCTTCATCTCTGTGATGGAGGGCAAAAGCAGAGGCACGGCCACACAGAACAGAGCCAGCTGTGGTGGCAGAGGGGTGCCTGATGCCGTCTTCTTTTTTTGGCCGTGCAAGAACTTCAGACGCCCCTGGAACTGCATTGTCTTCAAAGGAAAGAAACAGATGAAGAATCAGCTTAATCAGCCATCGTCCTCTTAAACATATCCTATTTTTTGATGTGTCTAGAGCACTGAATGGAATATTTGACCTACTTAACCAACCTAAAATGACCTATTCTCCAAAGAATAAGAATACTATCAGCAAAACATATTCAACCAGTCCCACCCTGGTGGTTTTCAGCAAACATACTCCAATCATATTAGCTGATTCATACTTTCCTCTTTGTGAGCCAAGAGCAATTCTAATCACAGCAAATCACACTAAGTGGTGGAAGAGCACCTTTACTGGTTAAATGATCCCTGATGGTTCCAAACCGCACTCTGAGGCCTCTACATTGAATAAACTGCCTGTGGTTCTTCTTTCCCTCAGCCCTCAAACTGTATCCAAACCAGTTTCAACTGTACAGTGGTGGGTTCCCACAATCAGTCTATGTTAAATTCTCTAGTGTTTTTTTTTCTCAGTAGCTTGACTCTATTTATAGAAAAAAATATATCTTTGGAATGTGCAATGAAATTGAGTCATTCTCAATATGTAAGGTGTGAAAATGGGCTCGAGTCAACAGTGCTGCTTTTTAAATAAGCAAGTCAGTGTATGCAGCATTTAAACAGGTCTAGTAACTGTTCCACTTTCATCTAGGTCTTGGGTAAACAAACATATTAATGTAGAAATCTGGAGATATTGTGGAGTTTCACTATAGTTTCTAAGAACACTAACTGTAGTAGATTGTATATATTCTCTATAAAAATGTTTTTCTAATACTGTCCTTTTCAGTCTTAATTATATCGGTTGTTTCCACTTCTGTAAAAAATCTAATAATAACTAATCTAAGGTAACGTGTCTCTGGGTTGAGCAGGCCATCACTTGCCAGGAATCCTGAGGTGCTGTCCAGGAGGCAACGTACTCTCGAGATGAAGCAACGATTAAGGAAGGAGGAAAATTCTGGAGGAACGCCACCTGTCTCTTGAGAGTGGAATAAGCTGCTGACCACAAAATCCTCACCTATGAGCCAGACATTTGAGAGATAAAAGGCATTGTTGAAGGTCATCTGTTGTTGTGGGGCCAAGTAGGAAGAAAAAACAACTACTGTAAAGAGAAATACTAATATAGTATATGAAGCATGTTTAGTGCACAAACAATACTGACACAATGCTTCTACTTTGGGTAACTAGTTAGGGTTTATGTACCCCAAGTTAAAGTATTTATGATGTTTAATGATGTGTAAATCATAACCCACCAGTTCCTGAGGCCAGGTGCTGATTAGAGGCCATCTGCTGTGAAGGGTTCATGGCCCAGTGGAGCTGTCGCCTAAACTCCTGCCTGTCGTCTACATGGATGTATTCAAAGACATTCTGGTGCATCACATCAGTCTACAAAAAGAGAGAGTGACAGAGGGTGAGAGGGAGGCAAGGACATACAATAAGATGGAGAGGGAGACCACCATATTAGGTACCAAAGGTGTTTCCTGGCCTGGAATATTTTTCCCATGAACCTTATAATGTTAACATATTACACGTTTCACCCTGGCACATTTGCACATCATTCTCAACATCCATTCTTTCATTCAAGGGCACATTCACCCACTCCTCAAACTCTGGAGCCATGAAATTTTGGTTAAAAAAAAATTTACTATGGAAAAATTCAATTAGAAAACAAGCCCAGGTCAAGCCCGATTTGCGAGTGAAAAATCAGCCCCTCACATACTTTTCTGGTTGAGTAGATCTCCAAAATGTTAATAAAGACACTCATTTTATCAGATACGCTTACTATATAGGCTCACTTTGTAGGTATGCAGTCACTATGCATTGCCACTACCTATATGATGTCATTGCTGTGCTAAGCACCACCCGAAAAAAATCATGTCCTGTGGTGGTCTGGGTGGCTGGCAAATTGTGCATAGTAGTAGATTGTCTGCAGTCTGTAATTGTCCTAATGGTAGATGTACCTGATAAGTTGACCAATGACTGTAGGTTTCAGGTAGGTATACCTAATAAACGGGCAAAAGATTTGAGAGAGAGGCGGTGACTGTGTTAATGAGGGCTTTTTCTTTGGTGCCCCTGCCACTTAACCTCTCTTCCACTTCAGTGAATCAGAGAGAGGAAAGGGGAAGGCAATATGTTGCAATACCACAAATGACATCTGACCCATGATAACTCTCATGCTGACCGCTGGCTTTACACTGGCAAACTCTTTCTGAACGACTTTTGTAGTTTTTAAAGTTTTGGTTATTACTTTGGTCACAGAATGCCTATCTTATTTGATAGATAAGTACTCACTGGCTCCTTTATTAGGTACACCTACCTTGTATCTATGCTCACTGTCCATTTTTTGAGGACACAGTACATGCACTTTGTAGTTCAACAGCTGTATCTCTGCATAATTTATTAGTCTTTTCTTCAACCTGTTCACCAATGGTCAGCCCCCCCTCAGGGCATGTTAGCGTGTGTGTGCTCTTGACAGAGTGCTGGTGGAGTTTTTAAATAACTCAGTGTCACTGCTGGGCTGTGAACAGTCCACCAACCAAAAATATCCAGTCAACAGCCTTCTGTGACCAGACGCTGACCCCTGATGAAGGACAAGAAGATAACAAATGCAAACTATGTAGCAACGGATGTATTATAGCCTGTAACTTGACATGTAGAAGATGAACAAATGTGGAAGAATAATATCGACACAACACTCACTAACATGCAAATACCATGTCAGTGCCAAGAATGATCTACCACCCAAATAACACCTGCGCAGTGGTGGTCCTGTTGGGTCCCTGACCATTGATGAACAAGGTAAAGAAAGACTAATAAATTTATGTAAATTATGTATTATGTAAATAATAAACGTAGGTATGCCTAATAAAGTGGCCAGTGAACATATAATTACAGTGAAGTGCCATTCATCATCGCAGATAGAATATTACACACAAATCCATCATTTTAGTGAAAGTGATTTCAATATCCATGGCTTCTTCGGTGTCTCTGTCTGACTTTACTCTCTGTTTACTTTTTTAGTTTTCCCCACCCAACATAGTTGAGATTCCCGGAGATTTAATGCCATGTTCTGTTGTTGAGTCAGTGTTACAGGACCCTACAGCAGTAGTACTGACAGTACTGACAGCTGACCCTACAGCAGTAGTACTGACAGTGAAATATCAATGAAGAAACCAGAAAAACAGAAGAACGACAGATAGAGAAAAAAAAAGTTTATTCCTGTCTCCAGCAACAGCTTTTTTGTGGACAGAAATGAGACATTCTTAAAAAAAAATAATAACCACACTTTGATATGTCCTGATTTTAGATTTTAAGCTTTTAAACATTTGTCTCATGAAAGTAATTCCTCCACATTTACTGTTTTTGTGAACTTCTCTCCTCTAGGATGATTCTATTACCCCACAGTGATTGTTCTTCAAAGCATCACTGCTGGGTCACAGATGGGGCAAAAAGGCATTATGTTGTTGTGATGCTTTCTTGTGGCGACATTCTTTAAAACTAACTGCGGCACTGTTACGTCAAGCCTGTCCCCTGTAATTTCATTTTTATTGTAATGTGTCTATTGTTTTGGTTGTCTAAGACTTTGCAGAGACACACACACACACACACACACACACACACATGTAACTAGAGATGGACAAATGTTTAGTGAAATCCTGAAATCCTACCACTTCTGTGCAGCTATTCCCATTTGGAAAAAAATACATAGGCATGTATGTCTACTGGAATGTATCCTGCATTACAGACTCTCTGAAATAAAGTCTAAGCCTAGTATAGCCTACAACTCAGAGAGCTTTCAATTTGAAAAGAGCTTCTTACTTCGCAATAACATTCACACATATATCCATCTCCCTCCATCTCTTTCCATTGCTGATATAAACAGCAAAGTTTCATCAGACTCAGAGTGGAAGCATTCAGCAACAGTGAGCACGAAAAACCTGCTATGCACTTAAGTGCTCCTTTCCGATTTCATTTTAATGTCGGTATCAGTGAATCGTCTTCCCCTGGGCGTCGGGCAGAGTGTCATGGTGGAATAATTCCCTACTTGTCTGGAGTGAGAGAGCTGGATTCATAATGTAGAGCACTTTATTCATTAGGTGGCGCCGGCAGTGGGGGATGTGTGCGTGATTTAAGTGGATGGTGTGGGTGCATATGCCCAGATTTGATACTGTCAATAATTAAGGAGCCTGGAAGACCAGCGAATGAGAGCACGGCCTGGGGAGTCTAGCACCTCTGTTGCTAGATCAGTTTCGCTGTTAAGCACTTGAATGATTTTAGACTTGAATTCTTGTGGACAGGGAAGAGTTGATGTTAGGTTAGCACTCCAGGACTTGGCCTTCCCTTTACAGAGAACAGACTCCCTCAGGACCCATGACATTATAGTGACCTCATCTTTTTCCTGAAAAGGACTTCAGGTGACATGATCTGATAAGCTCAAATATGCATACAGAGAGTGAGAGAATGATGTTTACAGTGAAAGTGAGACGGGTCAGCGGAGATGTAAAAGTGGAGTGTGTTTTATATATATATATAGTTGCATATCAAAGCCATTGGAAAAAAAGCCTTCAGATCAGTTTTTGTAATTTGGTACTTGTTTACAGTGAAATGCCAGTTGGTATCTCTGCAAACTGCAGCACCCTTTGGAAAAGCCAGCTGCCCTTTACATGAGAATGGACCAACAGACATTGCTCAAAATGACAACTAAATTAAAGCATTTGCAAGAGATAAACAGCATCAGTGTTCTTTTTATTACAGTTTCTATAACTGTGGGCACTTAAACAGAGCTTGAAGATGAAAGCGCATGTGTGCCATAGCACAAGGTGATACAGTAGAAGTGTAGAAAATATTATGATTTTTCTTGACACATTTCTACAGTTTATGGCAATTATGTATTTAATATGTGAATGAGGTGCTTAGAGGCCAATAATACAGGCTTATTCTGGCACAAATTAAGCACTGAGTGACAATATATAAAGAAAAAGTATCAGGGACAAAGAGTGAAGATGAAATAAAAGTGTTAACAGAAGGACAATTACGCCTTGGGGAAGTGTCTGTATCTGCATTAGAGAGACATAAACATGTACACAAGAAAGTTCTATTACATCTATAACTTACCTGATGGAAGCCCAGGTAGTCCACAATTGTGGAGGAAGCATAGAAGACCATTCCATCACTGCTCACAACCAGAGCAAAGCCAGTCAGGGACTGAAAAAAAAAAATCAAAACAGATAAATACAGATGAATTACATCATGAGATGCTTTCCTGAGTACATTGCATTTATCATAAAAAAACAGACAATGAGACCAATTGTAGAAAGCCATTGGTGATGTCACTGTCAAGCTACAAAAACTGTTTAGTAATAAAGAGCTCAATGGATAACTGGATATTATACCATTGTGTCATTATTTTCTTTATTTATTATTTAGCATAATACGTGACAGGAGGGAACTCATATTCCTTATTATGCTGGGGAAAAATAAAAATCATTGCATGTATGATATACACACAAACCAGCCCGTCTGGCACTGACAGTCATGGTCAAAATCACTGAGATCACATTTTTCCCCATTCTGATGTTGATGTGAACATTACCTGAAGCTGCTGGCCCATAACTGCATGATTTTATGGACTGCACTGCTGTCGCATGATTGGCTAATAGATAACATACAGGTGTCGCTAATGAAGTGCTCAATGAATGTAGTTTTCTGTGTTTTTTTTGTGTGTTTTGGGGAGGTACTACTGGCAGAAAAGATGATTTTGGATAAAATGCATTTATAACATGACTTCTCTGAATTGTTATCATAAAGATTTCAAAACGCAAAAGAAATACATTTATTTTAGCATGTTTAGTCAATTTACATCCACTTCCATCTGTTTTTTTTTCCCCAGAAATTATAAATTCACTCAAGGCTTAGCTCCACCCTACCTGGCCCATGGCATGCTATATATCTCTGAAAAGCCTGTCTCTTGTAGAATCTAAAAAGATTCATTTACGCCTATCTCTTTTGTAATTTTGACAACATTCACACAAAAAAATCTCACTAGCTTCTAGAACACCTATATTGATTAAATTTTACATTCCTTACCATATTCTGAAGATTTTTACAGAAAGATAATGTATTCATAGCTGGATTTATGCAAGCCTGTTCTATAAATTCACCTGAAAAGCTGAAAAGTTTTATATGAACAAATATAGTATAGACAATAAAATAGGTAGATTTCAATAATCTGTTCAGTGAAATCCTTTCTCTGAAGTGTGTCTTCACAATGAAATAAACCTTTTTAAATTCTAAAATCAACTGGCAAAATTAAATGGTGATATCTATTATTTCAAAAATTACCCTATTCATCTGAAGTGTCTCCCCAGTTTTTAAGAGGAAAAAACTACATACTGTAATACATACAAGTATCACAACACTGCATTTTTGCCATATTGCCCACCCCTGTCCTCTATACATAAGTAACATTGTTGATATTTTTGACAACACTTTGTCTTCCACAAATGCCAGCACTTTCTCCTCAGTCCATTCAGTGCCAGTCACTGAAGCTTTTGATAGGCCTCATCTTGGTGAACTTTTCTTCATGAAATCTCATTCACGCAGTATGCTTGTAGTGGACTGGGCCTGCAGCAGTCGAGGAAGGGAGGAAAGCACGGAGGTTTGGGCTCTGAGCACAGTCCTTTGTTAACTTGCCAGAACGTTTGTTCCACCGCCAACTTGCCGGCGATCGCGTGAGTTGTAGTGCGCTGTGGGCCAAGCCCTGTCACCTCCACTTTAATGTGAGACAGAGCAGGTCAGCACCACTAGGCTCTTCTCCTGCCAAGTGTGTGTGTGCTGCAAAAGCCATAAACACTGACAAAAATTAGACAAAAGTCTAATAAGCCTGTCTGTTGTGATGTTGAACATCATGTTATTGGAGTAGAATTAAAATGAATTTGAAGCATTGGTATGCCACTGAGGCGTATTTGTACAGTGTTAAAAAATAGTTTCATAGTGAAAGCGCTGTCAATTTTGCATTATTTTTTCTGTTTTTTTTTAACTGCAGAAAAATATAGGTGAAAATACAGAAAAGCACTGTTCATCCTATAAAGTTATAGCAATAAAATGTACATGTGAAAAACTGTCATTTGCTGTCAATTAACAGCATTGAATGTAATACAATTTACTTTTCTATGTTAATCACAAAGCTCCTATAAGCCATCCAAATGTAGCCCAAATTTTTAACACAGAAATTTCTCAGGGTTATTTATTATTTCACTCATAGCTTTCGCAGATGATGATCCATGAAACATGAATCTGTTTACAGCAATTGAAAAATGTGGTGCTATCCCTTTGTTTTGCAATTATGTGTTAATATACAGTCATTAACAATAAAAGTACATGGTATTTTGTATTTGGTTATAAAAAGATGGAATCTGGGTTGTTTAGCAGATTTCTACTGGCAACTTTGCTGCTAATACTTTTTACTTTTTTTTTTACAGAATTTTACTTAACAGTGTATGTACTACATGTGCAAAATGTTTGTAGATGCCTTTACATGCACACACAGGCTGTATGTCTACAGCAGCCATGTATGAGTCAAAGGTCACCATGCCCAATGCCAAGCATCAACAAGATGGGTAGAAAGCTCTCCAGCATTGAGCTCTAGAGTAGTGGAACAGTGTTCTCTGGAGTGATGTTGTAGTCACCATCGAATACCTGCTGTTTGCAATCCAGAACAAATCATTCAGCATCAGTACCTGATCTCACTAATGCTTTATGGCTGAATGCAATCAAATCTTCACAGAAATGTTTTACAGTGTTTTAACATCTAGTGTAAAGCCTAAATGGCTAAACATTTGCCATCCAGTAGGCTAGTCATTTACCAGGAAATCATCAGATCTCCTGGTAATTGTAGGTGGACACTAGAGAGAACTCTATCTACTTAGACTGGTCAGTTGCTAACTTATACAACGAGTGTGTTGTAGTCTGCAAGGCCAACAAAGATGTAAGGAGGTTTGAGCCTTTCAAACTTGCTATACATTATGTTGATTATGATGGGTCTCGCCTGGTATAAACCAGAGACAGACATGCCACCACTGAGAGCTTCTATGAATTTATATTACTGCTGACATGAAAATAAGTGTTAGCACAACTAGCAATCATTTCAGCACCACAGACACCATGAAATCACCATGCCACTTTGCCCATTTCTGTCATTCCAATTTGTGTTCTTTTTTTGTCAATCCAGTTTATGTACATGTCTGAAAAGGGGATGCAAAAACACTCAAAAACATGTCCTCGTGCCTAATGAATTCAGTGTCTAGGCTAGCAGCAACAAAGAATCCGACCGTTCTTACCTAGAAGTTCGATTCAAATGACCCTTTCTTCTTAAAATTTAATCGTCCTCTCGTCCGCTTTGTATCCACGTCTATTTTGATGTCTGTTGCTATGCAGATATTAAACTAGAAAGTGCGTCCAACCACATGCATGCTCAAAAACGAGCTCTATATCAATCTTGCAGCTCAGACATGCATACGATTAAATATTTAATGAGAAATTTTACAGCGATACTCAAGATTCTTAGTTTAGCGAGGCCATCAGAACTCACAATGTCACATGTCGAAATGGGTTGCAAGCATAACTAGCAACTAGCATGGAAAAAAAAGTTAGCTGGTGAAACAAATGGCTAGAGATAGAGAATGGATCCATAGATATTTGACAATGAAATATTTCAGAAAAGGTAAAACCATTCAGATAACATATCATCTAATAGTGGTGCAGCTACCTGTAAGGACAATTCTGCAAGGTTTGCTTTTTAAGTTGGCTTGAATGGTAGAACAAGATTTGGCCAAACTTGGTGCTGAACAAGTACTCTCTTGCTGACAAATGCACGAAGTGTGTGTTGAGCTACAAGGAATCATAAGATATTGATTGTGTGGTGTTTTAGATAGTGCATAGGCAAATTTATTTGATGCAACAAATAGAATTTTATTATCACTTTGGAACTGTTGTGTTTCTACTACAGTGTTCAGTGAACATTTATTGATAAAAAAAGGGCATAGAGGCAAACCCAGTGATTTGAATAGACTTAACCCTATAAACGGTGCACGGTTAATTTAGCTATTTCTTTTAAAGTGCGTGCTCTGTTGCATGGTAGCTTTAGAATGGCTGACAGAATGGTGTAATGAGTTATTAAAGTGTTTTTAACTTTTTTCTCTTATTCATGACTTTTATTAACCAAACATTTTTATTTATGAGTAATGATGCCACTACACTCTAATGCACAAGGCATTTTACTGCATTCTTTTCCATAGAACTGTAGGTAAGCGCAGCCAATTCAGAACAATTTAATATCTGGTTGCTTTGTCTACAGATACCTGTGTGAATATGACTAAATAGCTCTTACAAAGACCAATGTGCAAAGTTAGTACACATCATTCACTGTATTAGCAAAGGTTAACATTTTGTCACAGTGTACCTTTATCATTTACTTGTTGATTTCCCTTTACAAAGATGGACGTAGATTTCCGAGGAAATGTGTACATTTACAACAAAGATGGGAAACGTGTACATTTCCTAGGAAGTCGTATACATTTACTTTCCTAGCTGGGAAATGTATACATTTACCAGGAACTGAACACAATTCCTTTTTTACACATTTCTTGCAACACAAGCATATAAACCCATTTACAAGAGTAGATGCGCAAGAGTTGTTAGCGAGAGCATGTACGTGTCTGAAGAGATTCTCTAGCTCTCTCTCTCTCTCTCTCTGTCTTTCTTTCTCTTTGTCCCTTAGGCCCTATACTACTTTTCAAATAACAAAACTTATGAAAGTCTGCCTCCCTCTAGCCCACCCATCTGTGCATTCATCTACCTACCCATATTTCTCTCTCTCTCTCTCTCTCTCTCTCTCTCTCTCTCCCCTCTCCCTCTCCCTCTCTCTCTCTCTCTCTCTTTCTCTCTCTCTCTCTCTCTCTCTCTCCCCTTCTGGACAGTGAGTTGGCCTTCGAATGTTTGTATGATCTGCTTTCTTCCAGAATTCCATTTCACTCCAATCAGAACTAACTGGCCCCACAGAGTAGTCATGCAATCAGCATGATTCCCCATGTGACTTAAACAAAATACCTGTATACAAGGAAACCTGAAGGGTGCGGTGGGTTATAAACTTTCCACATTGCAGTACGAAAGTAGTAAGATAATGTGATTCATAAATTCATTCAAAGTTTCTGACCACAGCCTCTCTGTTTCTTAGTTTTTATTTGTTTAACTGACTAATCGATCACTGCACTTTCTACTGTTTCCTCTCATTTTGCCCCCATCACTGTACCGCCATTATTCAAAGTTCTATCAGTGCAGCAGGTGATTTCTTTGTTCATGGAGCATCAAAAACAACTGAAACTATATTGCCCTATTACCCTTTTTTTCTGTGTGTAGTATTTTGTCTTGCATTCTACTAATTGACTCCTTTCCTGATGAACTACCTTTACCTTTTTTTCTATTGCTAAAACTGTCATCACTCAGATAGGCCACTGCCTGTCACCGTGTTAAAATTGTTACCAAGACAGCATTTCACAAGACATCTTAATGGATCATCTTAAGTGTGCATAAAGTTTGTATAAAAATGAAATATGTAGTCCCTTTTGTGCCTTTCTCCAGAGATCAAACCCACTTGCTTACTTAAAAAATAAAAAATGCTGCCGTTGAAACGTAATCAGTTATAAAAACAGTGGATGCATAGCCCGAACCATCATTGGTGGAGAAGAACAGGTAAGTGAATATCTGGATATTTATAAATCCATTATTTATAAGGCAAAAATATAAATTGCTCTAATTTACAGCCCCCCACCGCCCCCATCCTGTGACTAGACAGTTTGGATCTGGTCACCTTAGGTTGTTTTGTTATGCTAGTTTTGTTCTAATGTCAGTCTCAAACGTCCAGCCTCAAAACAAAATCTCAATGTCTCTAAGAATTTCATATCCATGCTTCACAGAATTCTGATTTGATTAGCCGTTGGAAAGCATTCAAGCTCTTTGACCACAGAGAGCAAAGTACAGTTCCAACTCCATTACTAGTTGATTTCTAGTTTATGTACTTTTGGTTTTTATGATTTGAACTCTTTGCAAGAGTGACATTTTTTGCTTGAGATGCCAGGACTGCCACACATTCGGAAACTACGAGTCATGAGAAATCAGAGAAAAAAACGAGTGAAAGAAGCAGGCAGGCTTTTTTAAACCCTTTCCTTTTCTTCCACCAGCTGAGCTGACATCCTGGTCATTTACTTTTTTCTTGACATTGTTGGTGAGACTTCAAAAGAACATCACCAGGCTTTCCAAGCATTTTTGAGTCATCGAAGGAAGGAGGTGGGGGGACTCTCTGGAATATTCCTGCTCTCTGGAGGCTAGGCAACCCCCCTCTCCAGCATACACAATAGCAGAAGGCTAAAATCAGTGGTTTTTCAAGTCACGCAATGAGGGGCAACACATTACCACGGTTAACTGAAAGTCTATTCAAAGCATTTAATGGCTAAATGTCACCAGGCCTGTGAGCTGTTGAGAAATTCCTCTTTGTTTTTCCAGTGTTTTGCTTTCCTTTGAAGGAGGTCAGCGTTTCACCCGCAGCCATATTAGACTCCTGATTCAATCTTTTTTTTTAAGATGAGGGGAAAAAGTATGGTGGTTAATAGGCAGTCCCAAACTGTAAGATAACACAGGTACCTAAAACAGTCATGTTGAAATAAAACGCTGACTGGTATGATTTTTCACCAAGCACGGATTCTGAATTAGTCACATAATTTAAGCCAAAGTCAAGCCTGTCCAGTTTCTGCTTTGTGAAAACAATCCCATTCTAGACTTCATGTCCAGAATCTAAACCCATGTAATGCCCCTAACTTTCAAATTCAGCATGAACAAAATTTGATCCACAGCCCTTATTTTATTACACCCTTCACCTTTACAGTCTCAATAAAGGACAAACAGCTTGGAGGACAAAGTCAGAAACTTTGTGCTGCAGCATCAGACATAAAGGGCAGAATCCTGTTTCTGGACTTCAGTAAGACTGCTGACGGCTAAGCACATTTCCCACCATGGTCTTGTAAACCTGACTTTTCCACTGTGTTTTGTTGCTGGATGTGACCAAGAACTGCCTATTTTGACAAAAAAGTACCAGTTGACTGACAAAATAACCAACCACAAACCATTGTTTTTGTCTAACGTGTAGGGCAGACAGTTTTAAGAACAGCGCTACGACAAGACATTTGCGAGAAAGTTGTAGGCAACTGCTTGCAAAAAATGTTTCCCATTAGACAAATGGATATGCAGATAGCCAATCAGAATGCACCTTACAAAACTGTTACACTGTCCCTGCATCTCTAAAAGTCAACTGAATATGAACCAGAACTCATTTTTTTTATTATTAAATAAAATCTTAGTAATAACAACATTCTGATCAAACAAGGTTCATCAGTAACCAAATAATAACCAGTTAAGCCATCATGGAAAGGATCAAAATAGACCCTTAACCAGCAGCAAACAGATCTTTTATTTATGTATTTATTTATTTTTTTTATCAATCTCTCAGGTTCCACATTAAAGACCAAGTCAGGGCATTTCTAAGACTTTAACCCTTGAAAATGTCCTAGGGCCCATCAAAACCAAAATCTGCAGGAGTATGGAAAGCTTCTTGCCCAGTGTTACATCTCTGTAAAATCATCATCACTACCTGAACATCTACAACCCTTTCCATCTCAAATGTGCCTTTATAAAAACTCAAGTCACGTGATACATATTATTGCTTTGTGCCTGTAAAGCTGCAAATACACTAGAACAATTTTCATGCTTTAATATTACTTTAAGTAAGGAAATTTAACAGACACACACCTCCAGTAGGAGCTCACTCTCAGAGATGCTGGGTGCGGGTGACACACTCTCCTTCCTGACTTCCTGAGCGGATGAAGGGCTGATGTGCCTCCGAGATGGCTTCTCCTGATTGGCTGTGAAGAAAACACAGAACAAAAGGATTAATGTCATTCAGGAATCAAAAAAATGTCTTGCACCGCAACAGTATATGCAGTATACTTACCACGAGTCCATTCAGCCTACTTCTAGATGTATTTCACTTTTTCACATTATTTCAAGAAATACTCTCACTGCACTGTTTGCATCCACTACTGTATAAAGCAATAAGAACAATATGCATGTAGCTATATATCTATTGCAATAGGAAATAGGTACTTTTTTGCTGAATTGCCGAGGTGTAAGAAACGGTTTACTATTAAAAAATATTACGTTAAAATGTTATTCATATTCAAGGTGGCCCATTCATGCAAAGGATTTAATATAATTGCCATAAAGTGTCTATCAGAGAATGCATTAAATCATGCAAAAAAATTATAAGAACCAATAACTAAAACAGTAATAAAACTTTTTATATATACATTAATCACAAATAATTAATTTCCCTTTGAGTGCTAGTAATTAGAAATGAATTTGAAAGTCTGAAGAAGTATAAAAAAACACCATGTAGGTTTTCACGATTTTAAAGGATTGATTTTACCCATTATCCCCATGTTTTGCTCCTTATTTTGAAAAAATTGTCCTTTGCTGGCATTTAGAACATCTGACTTTCTCATCTGATTGGCAGAGACTCGGCACGCATTTTGGCTTTTTCCCAAGCTCGGGATAATAAACATCTTTTAATCTAGCTCTTTCCCAGTGGCTCTTAAAGAAACAGTACTCCCTAAGGAGGCCAGACAATAAAGATTACTGTAAAACACTGTCATATTTTACTGATTATCCAAAGGATTTCTGCTTGCAGTTTTCAATTATGAAGGATTAAATCTGGCTGAAATCAGAAATAAAGACGTCAAATAAACACACAAATAAAGAAAGGCTGAATACAATTTGGAAATAAATGTGTTGACTACTTCTTAACAAGGCAAGCAATCTTACATGAAACTGATTATCTTTAGACTGAAACCAGTCATGGCTTACATTTCCATGTAAAAATGTTTCGTGATTATGTGGATGAAAGTTCGCACTGACCTGAGATCAGAGCCTCTAATCATGGCACTTCTTAGAGTAGGAGTGCTGATCTAAGATCTGTTCCTGTCCTAGATCTGCACTCCTAATCTGAGAAGCTTTATGAATATGGGCCCAGTTGTCAGGTTTTCACTCACCGTGGCTTGGATGGGGGAAAGTGTGCAACACATGGTATTGTGAGAAAGGTGGTATATATTAAATATTGATAACACACCAAAAAAATAAAAAAATCGTTAGACATCATAATATATGCACCTGGAGTAAAACAGGTGGTACACCTCTAGCTTAAAAATACACTCTAATCAGGTCTGACTGCTCAAGGAGACTAGAGGGAGTGTTTTGCGACTGTGACTACAAACTAGAATTGACACGTGCTGCGTGGAAGTGCAGTGCAACCCACACACTCAAAGCAGACTTACAAAGCAACCACAAAGTCCCTGCATGCATTTCAATCTGTATTTTTGTACATTTAAAGTATTTTTCATCAGTAATAATGAAACAATGAAAGCAGCAAAATTTAGCAAAAATGATTTTTATTGCTGAAGACTTTAACAGTTGCTGTTAAAATGAAAGGACATACAAAGAGTTTTTTACGATTTGAAACTAAATTCTTTCCCTTGGTTGCCATTATGCAGGATTTTTAATAGAAGTTAATTCTGTCATTAATGGTAGTAAATTGGTGCATCATCATGATGGTTCTACCATTGCCAGTTCATCAGCATATGGCACTGTGCAAAATTCAAAGGCTACCCTTAATTTATTTCATCTGACAATCTTACCTTCACTTATTTCATTTCAGGTCAAAACACACAATAATTTGAAGTTATTTCTGATATTTCTGAGGAGAATATATATCAAATAATCCACTAGCATAAAGAAGGTAATGGTTAAAAAGGGAAAACACAGGGGTTTCCAAAACCGGAGTTCAGAAATCGATTAAAGGTTATTAAGAACATGGGACTAACAACCATACAAGATCCGGTAGACCACCAAAACTGTCTCTATCAGATAAACACTACTTAAATCTTTGACAGATAGGAGAAAATCCATTCTTGCTTCATATCTGAAAAAACCTTCAGCTGTGAGAAGACAACTCAACGCTATGGGTCTGAAATGACATGTAGCTGTCAAGAAGTCATTCCTGACAACATTATATAGAGATTTTTGCAAATCAAACAAACAAGCTCTTGATGTTCTCTTTGCCCCAGACCCCAATCCTCAGCATTACTGAATGTGTTTGGGATTCCTTGGCACTTGAGAAGCAAAAAATATAACTTTCTTTTAAGACAGAATTTTGGAGGTTTGAAAAAATATGGAGATTTCTTTGAAAAACTAAAGCAAGCCTCCTGTAAGTGAATATCCCACTGAAAAAGTCTCTGTTTTAAGAAATTTCACATCTGCACTCTGGCCACTTTAGGTTAGAGATCATGAATAAAGGTGGATATAACCACCTGCTTATTTAAAGCTTGAGCTAGTTATATTCTTCTCCTTCTCTCTGTCAAACCGTGCCACATGTAATATGCCGTTGCGTGACGCCATGTCAAAAGATGTCAGTTACTGTTCAGCAATCCAGACAGAAAGGAGTTCAAATGTCTGTTCCAAAAACCTACACACAATCACACACACACACACACATACACATTTATGCACACATGGATACACAACTTGGATTAGTCACGAAACATCTGTAAGCACTGCCAAACATTACCCACTTGGTCACTATGTCATGCAACTGTCACTGCCTAGTAACAACCCCTAGAAACAACCTATCCAATACAACCCCCCCCCACACCACACCCCACACACACACACACACACACACACACTCACTCTAGCCCACAATCTAGCCCGGTAACACCCAAAAGCTTCTATATGCCCCTCCTCTCAATCATCCCCTTCACTGCCACTTCCGTGACTCCTGACAGTTTTCTTTCCTGATACGCATCCAACCACAGCACGCAATTTGCTCATTATTTTCTCCCTTATTTCTATTCCTTCATCACTTTACTCATCACATGCCACCAGTTCTGGGTAATACTAGACCATTCAGGTCATCTCAGCAATTTATTTCATGCCAGCGCATTAAAGACACTCACCGGTTTCCTTCCCATTTATTTCCTCACCCATGTGCAGTGGAATTGCAGCTTTAAAAAATAAAGGTGCCAAAAAGGTTACCCTAGAAGAACTACTTTTGGTTCCGCAAAGAATCTTTCAATGGATGATTCTTTAAAGAAATAATACAGCATTTTCCAACCTAATATCTGCCGCATCTGTAGCAAAAAATTGATAACTACTGATAAGGAACTACTGACAAAGAACAGAAGCCCATTGACTCAAAACACACTTAGATGTCAACTCCAGGCTTACATTATAAGTGTGTTTTGGGACAACAGGTCTTCTGTTTTTTTTTTACTAAACACAGGGTAGTGTGTCTAAATTATTATTTGTGGCAATCAACTGTATGGCAGATAGAAATTTGGTTGAAAAACACTGGAGTATTCCTTTAAAGAATCATCCATCAAAAAGTTCTTTAGGGAACCATATGCATTTCTTTTCATGCTATTGCTCCAAAGAACTCTTTTACCTACCTTTATTTTTAAGGAAGTATAATAACCTTTGTGGTCATTATAGAAAGTGAAGAAGGAAATGAATCAAATTACCTTCTCAGCCTCTGCCATTCACTTGTACCTTCTGAAACTGTGGCTTAAAAGGGTGGTCAGGAAAGGTAAACATACAGGATGATTAATCATCGGGCCCTTCCCCCTCTCACTAACACAGGCCTTATTCATGCTGTTCACTGGGAAATGGAGAAGCTAATGGCTGAGTGTTCAGATACAGGGTTTTGGGAGCGTTTGGTGGGGGATGACATCAGGAAAGGTCCACGCGACACTTAAGAGACCGTGGAGCTTTTCTATAACGTGAGGTAATTACTTCCAACAAGAGACACAACATCCCGCCAAACCAGACGCAGGTGTTTTCTAGAAGGCTATTTCTAAGAACTCACTGTTCCAAACAACAAACCGTATGGAATACGTTGCTACTGTTTCCATGTGTCAGACACTAAAGTTGGCATGGAAACCAAGTGTAAGCGGCACCAAGTTCAGTGTTAAATTGCAAAAGCTCAATTAACTCAGTGAGACTTATTTAGTAATGGTTAATGCCAAATTCAAGAATGTCTAGCCAGTTTTGCTTACAACACATTGATGCTGTATTATCACAGATTTTCCAGATTTTGTAGAGGATCTGAAGCAAATAAATATAAATTGTGCACTGAAATGTTCAGAAATGTTTTCAGAGATGTTTTTAACATATTGGAAAAAATTGAACATACAGTATGAAATGTGCCATAACTTTTGCACAGGCACTGTACAAAGGGATGATAATAATACACATGCACATTTATAAATGTAGGTTTATACTCTTAGGAAGGAAATCATTTATATGGGCCATTGTACTGAATTAGTTCAAACCATAGCCCCACATTAACTATTCAGACCACAGATATATACAGGGATTCAGCTATAATCTATTTAAACCAAAGGCATTTATTGAAATAATAATATGCCTCTCTCTCTCTCTCTCTCTCTCTCTCTCTCTCTCTCTCTATATATATATATATATTTTTTTTTTTTTTTCAAAAATTTGGGACTGTGTGTGAAATGCCAATAAAACACAAAGCAGCAATTAGTAAATTCTTTTTTAACCTGTATTATATTATAAATGATACAAAACCACAATATTTTATGTTTTAGCTGATGATGTTATGCCTGCAACAAGTTCCAAAAACATTGGGACAGAGGCACGTTTGCCACTGTGTTACATCATCTTTCCTTTTAACAACACTTAATAATTGTTTGGGGACTAAAGACCCAAACTTGTCCAGTTTTGAAATTGAATCTTTTTTTCTATTCTTCTGTCATACAAGTCTTTACCTGTGCAACCGTAAAAGGCCTATGCTGTTGTATTCTGAGCTTAAAAAAGCTTTTCAATGGAGAAAAGACCAGACTACCACCCCACTCTCTGATTATGTAGCCATGCTGTTGTAACATCTGCAGGATGTGACTTGCTGTTGTCATGTTGAAATAGGCATGAATGTCCTAAAAGAAAAAAACAAAACAAAAAACAAACATTGCCTAAAAGGCAGCATATGTTGCTCCAAAATGTGTTCAGGTCTTCTTTGGCCCAGAGAAGATGACATCCATTATTTCCATAAACAATCTAAAAGGTTGACTCATCAGACCACAGTGCATATTTCCACTGTGCATCGGTCAATTTCAGATGAACCTGAGGTCAGAGAAATCGGCAGCGTTTCTGGACATTGTTAACTTGCATTTATGGATGCAGCTATGGAGTTGCCCCAACTTTTTTAGAATTGAGTTTGTACAAATTCATCATTCACAGGACACTTTCTACTGGGAGGTGGCTGTCCTGAACCCTAGCCCCTAAATTTCAACTTTTGAAAATAATATTTTCACTTTTTTTTTTTTTTCAATGTTTTAAAAACATTTAGGTTCATCATTAGTTTATTTAAAATATGCTGTCCCATGTTTTCATGTCACTACTGAAAAAGTTTTAGTCGATGGCCGGAGCCTTATTTTAACAACACTCCTGCATTTTAGAGCGGAAAGTATATATTAAATATTATGATTTTATGTGTGTACAACTGTTCAAAGCTGTGTTTGCTAGTGGCTAGTGCTTTTGAGTTATGTTCAAAATTAGCTGAAATTGTTACTACCAAAACATTTGGTAAAGTTTCAGTGGTGTTATGATTGTTTTGGTAGCAATAAATAGGATAGAATTATTAAGGCATACAGTATTCAAAGCAAAGTTTGAAATGTGACTTTGAGTCAACTTGGTCTGAAAGTAAGGGCAGAGATGGGAGAGGGTGGTGCGTTTAGCAGGCTTCTTCCTTATGCTAGGTGTAAATGAATGAATGAGCCCGCTTTGCCACTTAGTATTACTAAGTACTTGCATTGTGCTGTCTTGTCCATGATGTGGATGACATTTGTTGAACTGATTGAGTTAAGTGTGGTGCAAAGCATCTGGCCTCTGAGAAAACTGCTTAGTGTATAGAACAGTCAGGGTTGAGGTGGTGGTTGACAGGGGGGTGTCGGGGTTTGAGGTTCTCAGTAACATCTGTGTTCTCGGTCACGCACGCTCCATCTCCGCATTCCTCAATTTGGATTCTCACCCTCCCTTCCATCAAGTCGCAAAAACAAATCATTAATTCATCCAACTGCTTTGAAGCATGCAGATTGGAGGAAAGCTACACGCAATATCTGACTGCATGAAGAGACAGACATGAAAGTTTTGGGAACTGCAGTGAAAGATTGGCGCACTGTCTACTTAAAATGACTAGCGGTCATGCTCTAGCAGTTTTAACTCCTTAATGGAATACTTCTGCATTTTTCAACTGAATTGGTATCTGCTGCATCTGTATCATACAACCCATTATCATAAACAATAATTATGATCCATTTCCTTGTGCTTTATATAAGAACAGATATTTAGAGCATGGGCTTTTATTAGAAATTGTGAGTCCGTCAAAATGTTCTATTCTTTTCTAAGTACAGGAAAGTATTATTCATGGTAATCAACTATACACTACAGATACGAGATAAGAGATTAGGCTAGAAAGCGTTAAAGTATACATAGAATTTCAGTAAACATGCATTTTTGTGGCTTCGTTGTTCGTAGTGCAGTCCAAATATATATATATATATATATATATATATATATATATATATATATATAGTTGGACTATATATACATATATTGCTGCTCTCAGAACAAAACCTAATCTAAACCTAATCTCCATCTTTGTCGTTTTGACATAATTCAAATGTACCAGTTGCCCTTTACATCATGTGTAAATTTCATGATGAATGGACCAAAAGTAATGGCCCAAAATGACTTGGGAAAAATTCTGGTTCCATTGACTTTGAATTACATTAAAAGTAAAGTAGTTTTTTCCTTCTCCTGTAAAGTTATCATTTTGGAGATATGGGGTTTTGTTCCAACAGCAGCTGCCAGCAGATAATTTGTCCTTTGTCCCCCTTTGCTGTTCATAGACTAAAATGCTGTACACACACTATATTTGTCTCAAGGCAAAGGGGCGGGTTCACTGGCTGGCTGCCATCTCTTTTGCTTAAACTTCACTCGTAACCCCTCCCCCATTCAACCAGGCCAGGAAATCCAGAATAGAGCGAAAAAGAGAGAGCAAAAGAATGAGCAAGCGAGAGAGAGAGAGAGAGAGAGAGAGAGAGAGAGAGAGAGAGAGAGAGAAAACTAATGCTGTTTTTAGAGCCAGGATCTGGCTGACCAAAGTGCTGTTGTCACGCGAACAAGCCTTCTGTCAATCTCCCAGCGTCTCTGACAGACTGTTGGCACCCAGCCAAGCCCTTGCGTGCAAGCCTGCAAAGCCACATTAGCCTATAAAGAATTTCATAAGAACAACAGCTGTTAAATATTGATGACTGCTGGCAAGGCATGAATGCTCTTCGCAAAAGGTTAAGCCTGCAATGTAATGGAACTTAATTCTTTAACATATGTTAAAGAATGTGCCTGGGACTTCTTTCTCTCTTTCTTTCTTTCCTTCCTTAGTGGTATAAAACCAAAGTCATCCGAAGAGGCCTCCCTTTTTTTTTAGGTTTCTTGTTCCTCTGAGAAATGTGTATATATATATATATATATATATATATATATACATACATTACAAGTTTCTGTTCTTTAAATTCTGTTCTCTAATGCGTCCTGATATTAAAATGAGAGCTAACAATCCTTCTTGGTAGCATTATCTCTTTTAGGTTTTGTTCAAATTATTTTTTTACTTATTTTTTTATGAACACATGAAACACACAATACAAAAAGGACAGTGGTATCAGATGTGATAAATGTGCAGCTATAAGTTAGATGTTGAGGACTCTCTTAAATCTTTAGTAATGTATTTGAAGCCACTACTGTGTTACATTTAGAGAACTGTTCCAATATTTTGGAGGAAACTTCCACTAGTAAAGTTGGTAGCGGAACAGGCCTAAGTTACATTAAGTAGAGTAGGCTAAAGGGATGAAGAGCTAGATTTTCCTATGCAGTCATTAAATTGCGATCCTGCAGTACTTCTGTTGCGTGCAAGGCACTGTTTCTTGCTCTCAGTTGCACCTTGCACATAGTTATAATGATTAAAAAAAACTTTAAGAGCTTTGTGTATTTTTTCATTTTAAATGTTGATTGATAACATTTGTTCTTCTTTGTTCTTTTTTCACATTTCTGCATAAAAACTCTCAGAGGGAATAATTAGCTGATAAAAATAACTAGGATTAAAGAAAACTAAAAAGCTTCCAAAGCCTAAGTCAATGCTTGGGAATGTACAGTATCATAATCAAAGAGAACAGAGCATAACACTGGATAAGAAGACTTTTTGTGGATGCTTTTTGGCTCTTAACAGTAGTCTCCCATTCTCTATACTCAGCCAGCACTTCCACTCACAGTAAATACACAGTTTCCTGAGATACATTTGCAGAAAATATAACTTCTGTTTTTTTTTTTTTTCCTCAACAGATGGCAAAAAGTTGTGGGGTTAAAGACTGGTCAAGAGGATCACCTTTAACTCCTTCATGGTAATTCCACACAAAGTCATTATAACACTGTATATATTCTTGTTACTGCATGTGTCCAGGAGCTGCTTTATGATGTTTCAAAATTTAAAACGTGATATTCACAAGCCCACAGCAGTGTGTGTGTGTGTGTGTGTGTGTGTGTGTGTGTGTGTGTGTGTGACTATAAAATATCGGTTAAAAACCAGTTACATGCCTTTTTTAATTTATGATCTATTGTCAGCGGTGGTGCAACTAAAAATCAGTCAAAACTAAAGAAAGCAAAACCATGTACAGTTATAGATAGTCAATAGAAAATACATTTTTTTTAAACGTGAGCCATTTGCCTACAAGCTGAAGACTGAAAAAACAAAAACAGCGTGGTTTAGTCAGTTGATTTAGCTTAGTTTGACTAACACTTTCCTAAATGAGTCATATTTTTAGGCCTGTTTTTAAAATGACTAAAATAGTGCGGCTCTTGTGTCCCAATCTTGGGAACATAAAAGACAAGAAAGGAGTACCTCATGGCTCTGTATAGGGACCAGTTCTGTTTTAGGCAGCGTCTTCCTTTACAGGCTTTGAGGACCAAAAACAGCTATAACACCTGTTGGTGAAATACCACCTAACCAAACTTGATACAGTCATTGCCACCTTTTTTGCATGTCTCACTACAGAGCAGTTGTATCTGTAAGGCTACTAATTACAGCTAAATGGAAAGGAATTCAAATTTACAAATGCTGATATTTGTAAATATGTAATCTGTAATATGCAACTGGTAGTTGTATTGACTGTCAGTAAGCCACTGCCTCCAGATTCTCTTGTTCTGTGGCTTTTCAGAAATAGCATTATATTAATAATTTACCAAGTACGAATGATATGGACAAAGGTATAACAATATGATGAAACAGCAAGCATATCATTGTGCAGAAAGCTCTAAAATGCAGATTTAAAAATGCTCAAAGGAGAGAAATGAACACTTCCTGGATGTTGGCCAATAGTCTTACAATACCCACATAAAAAACACCTGCTTGGCAAGTGCAGTGTGAAGTCACACTGAAAAGACCGTCACCCAACACTCTAGGGTGAGATGTCAATTTGGCATTAATGATGCTCTTTAATCAGCTATGCAGATATGGATCAGTGCTCTCACTTGATCCCTGCTGAACTAATGCAAACTTAAAACCCAGCCTGCATGCTTTAATTAGGTTGTACGACAGTGGGGGAAACAGTTTTTACATCTCACTAAAAGCTTGCCAATATTCTTGTATACATATATAAAGTTTATCAACCCAGATTAACAATAGACTTTCTGTACAATAACAGACCCTTGAGTTTGCTAGATTTATTATATTTTTTTTTTTTTTACATTTTTACACGTTCCACTGTTTTTCTTAGTCAATCAAATGAAGTGTTTACATAGATAACAAATACAGATGGGAACCATCTAGATATGTTTTGAGCGGTAATTAAAAATAGTAATTACGTATTTATATGATTGCATTATATGACATGGTGCTGAAATGATTCTTATAAACACACTGAAAATTAACTTTCATAGTCCTCAAAAGACAAATCATGGGGGTTGTTACAAACTAAACAAGAAATAGGTTAATTGCAATTGCACTGAATTCTGAGGTATTTAATGAAATGGAGGCGATGTCACATAATTAAATGCATGTTCATTAAAAAAATGTATGTTTTTGAATGTGGTCACAGGCAACAAACCCACCAAAGGGTTTTACAGTAGGTGCTGCAGCCAATCGCCAGGCTCAAGGTCTGACTCCATGGACTCCATGGACTAGCTGGCTTTGTCCTGACAGCTGTATCCTGAGAAGCTCTGGAAAACTGAGCACAGCCTGACCTTGAGCTGTCAACGAAATGACCCACCTGCATCTACACAGAAAAGGCCCGGAAAGCTGGCAAACACTTGCGTTCCCAATACTCCTGGTGTTAGCATCCTCTATCCAAAAGAGAATGGAGCTTCCAATTCAATTTTTCTTTTGTTTGGTAAACTTAACTGTTTTGTAGAGTCAATCAACAGCCCTTTTGTGATATGGGTCTGCAGCAGTTGAAATACTAACCCCTAGAAGTTAAGAGTAAGTGCACAATTAAATGATTACATAGTGAGTTGTGTAAGAAATTACATTTGTTTTGCATTCTGTCACTTTTTTCGTTTTTCCTCTTTTTTTCCTACTAAACAAGCTAGATGCACAATAGTAAATGTTCATCAAATTCAAATCATAATAAAACATATCATACCTTTGAAAAACAAATGTGGTATCGATTGATACTTGTTTCAGTTAGTTATGAGTACGAGTTATGAACTTGCAAGAAAATGATTTTGTTACGTGCTTTTGTTACGGCCAGCAATAACTGTGACTTCTAACGGTTAATCTAGCTATAAAGGAAAACAGATTTCTCTTTGGCGAACTATGTGAAGATAGTTGATCACTGTTTGATTGATTGACTAAAGGTACTTAAGCCCTATAACGCTTTCTTTATTTGTTGACTGTGTACAAATAAAATGAGGCTTTGTGATTTCAAATGATAAGGTGATGGATAACTTGATCCCAGCGCCCACCTCTATCTTGTGATGAGATCCATCTGTGAACACACCAAGCTTTGTTAGATCTCAGCATCTAGCACTCTCAGTATACTGCTTTTCTTATAACTGGAGAGGAGAACGAGTGGTGGAGAAGGGGGGTTGAGAATTGGAGAAGGAAGACAGTTGATTAACGTTGCTCTCTAACTGTGCAATCTAATCTTCAACTCTTTTGGATCACTATTCCCTTAGTACTGTTATATTAATGGCTATTGTCAAGTACCAGCCAAAGCTGTAGGCACCATCAAGAAAGATTCTATTATTCAACAGCAGCAGTCAGTTTGATTTCATGATTGAAACCATGAAGCCTTCATGTTCCCTTGTCTTCAAAGACACTCAGGGGCAGATTAAAATGGATGGAAGCTGGATAAGTGGTGCACATGGCAGTAATTCGTGGCACGCTTTGCAGATACCGGTAGCATTTATTGCTACCAGAGTAATGAATTTCCTATAGTGCTCTGAATAAATAAACAGGATTTTGGTGGCTTGCTAGAAGGCAGATGCCTGTGGTGTGACAGGTTTGAATCTAGGCCCATGCTGCTGACAGTGTGGTAGAATGTGACATCTACAACCAGCTGTGCAGATACAGCCGTCAAAACTGATGGCATGAAGTGACACTTGTTTAAAAACAAAACTGGCTTGAATTTTAGCATGTTTGGAGTGGATTTCAGAAGTTTAGATGCCTAATAAAGCGGATATATAACAGAACTCTTTGACCTATCAAAGCAGCCTATACATGGTGTGATTCTGAAGAGGACACTTCGCCAGTGGTTGTCTACTTTGACTCGCTCTGGACTGAGGTGTCAGCACATGTTGCTTGTGTCAAAGTTCTGCATTCAAAAAAGCCACAGAGCGTGGATCCCAACATCTCTTGCTCCAGCACATTCATGTTTATTACAGTGAGCGAATTGAATTTTGCTCTACAGTATGAAAATAAAGCTTTTGATGTATTAAAATTTGCATCAGTGTCATTGATAAGCTTATAAGCAAGCACCACATGACCCCTGGGCCTTTATGAGAGGCATCACATAATTTCTCCAAAGCCCATTGCCTGCCTTTTTCCCCTTAGCGGAAGTTTGATTTATGACACTGCCACAGGAATTTCTCTCAAATGGCTTCAGTATGTGTTACCACGCAGGGGGAGCAGTGCTGATTTTGCAAAGCATTAGTAGCTCAGAAATATCTCTTCTTGCCACTGCAGAGTTCCTCACGCAAACTCACAACAATCCCACTGAGAAGAGTAGCAGTTAGCTTCCCTTTGTCTCTTTGTGACCAATCTGTCTCTGTCTCACAGCAAGGCCTCTGAGGTCTAGATCAACATACAGGGACAATGTAGGAAGAGACACAGGAAGTTTTAGGTTGAGAGTGCTGAAATTTGACATACAACCCCATTTCCAAAAAAAAATAAAAATTAGTCACGACGCTGTGCAAAATGTAAATTAAAACAAAATACAATGATGTGCAAATCATTGAACCCCTGTATTTAATTGAAAATAGTACAAAGACAACATATCACATGTTGAAACTGGGAAATTTGAGTGTTTTTTTTAATATTTGCCCATTTAGAATTTGATGCCAAAAACACTTTCCAAAACGTTGGGATGGGGGCAACAAAAGGCTGGTAAAATTGTGTAATGCTGAAAAAAACACCTGGTGGTTAATTGGCAACAGGTCAGTAACATGACTGGGTACAAAAAGAGCATCCCAGAGAGGCTGAGTCTTTCAGAGGTAAAGACAATGAGGGGTTCACCACTCTGTGAAAGACTGCACGATCAAATAGTGCAACAATTCAGGAATAACATTTCTCAACGTAAAATAGCAAAGAACTTTTGCTTTTCATCATCTACAGTATATAATATCATTAGAAGATTCAGAGAATCTGGACGAAACTCTGTATGCAAGGGGACAAGGCCAAAAAAGTATTTGCTGGTCATGATCTTCGGGCCCTCAAGCGGGACTGCATTAATAACAAGACATGATTCTGTAGAGAACATCACTGTATGGGCTGAGAAACACTTCTAAAAACCACTATCTGTGAAAACACTTTGTCGCTGCATCCACAAATGCAAGTTAAAACAAATGCAAAGAAAAAACTGTACATAAACAGGATCCAGGAATGCTGCCGCCTTCTCTGGGCCCGAGCTCATTTAAAATGGATTGAGGGGAAGTGAAAAAGCGTCCTGTGGTCCGACAAATCAACATTTGAAATTCTTTTTGGAAATCATGGACGCTGCGACCTCTGGGCTAAAGACCACTCAGCTTGTTATCCGTGAACAGTTCAAAAGCTAGTATTCATGATGGTTTAGGGGTGGATTAGTGCGCATAGCATGGGTGATCTGTGAAGGCACCATTAATGCTGGATGATATATACATGTTTTGGCAACATATGCTGCCATCCAGACGACGTCTTTTTCAGGGAAGGCCTTGATTATTTCAGCAAGACAATGACAAACCACATTCTGCATGTATTACATCAGCATGGCTCCATATTAAAAGAGTCAGAGTGCTAAACTGGCCAGACTGCAATCCAGTCCACTACAGCAATTTGTCTCCTCAGTTCCCAAATGCTTACAGGGTGCTGTTAAAAAAAGAGGGGGTGAAACACAGTGGTGAACCTGCCCCCGTCCCAACTTTTTTGGAATGTGTTGTTGGCATTAAATTCAAAATGGGCTTATAATTTTCAAAAAACAATAAAATTTCCCAGTTTCAAGATTTGATATGTTACCTTTGTAATTTCCCTTAAAAATATGGTTTACATGATTTGAATATCATTGCATTGTATTTTTATTTACATTCTGCACAGCATCCCAACCTTTTTGGAAATGAGGTTGTATTATACATATGACACAGACTGTGATATCATGTTAAAAGTATGCCAAATGCTCCATAATCTCTGTAGCTGCAGTGGTAGGAATAGCTATTGTAGAAGTAAAGAACTAAGCTGAACCGATGGATTGGTCTGCTCTCTCGTTGTGTCCAAGGCCAATGGTGCACTTAGTGTACACACATTATGTTTTTGAAGACCAAACTTGTGGAAACTGAACCACTGCTTGTCCTCTTTAAGTTAGAAATTCTTTTCTGCAACACCATCAAAAGCAAACTGCCAAATTTATGTCAACAGTGCACGACTGAGTGAACACAAATGACAACAGCAAAGGTGACATGCTACTGCAAATTTGAAAAAGATGTAAACGTAACTTTGTTAAAATGAATCAAACTTCCCATCGCTATCAAAAATGCACACACAGAAACATCAAGTCCCGTATCTGTGAATGGTGTGAATGGTGTGAACCATGAAGTCATGAAGTTAACACTCACCCAACACACATACCTCTATTTTGCCACTGACTCAGGGTACTTAACCCCTATGACACATTTCTTTATTTGTTAACTCTGTACAGATTCAAATGAAGCTTTGTGATTTCAAATGATAAGTTGTTGTATAATGAACTTGATGCCAGTGCCCACCTCTATCTTGTGATGAGATCCATCTGTGAACACACCCAGCTTTGTTAGATCTCAGCATCTAGCACTCTCAGTGTACTGCTTTCCTTACAACTGGGAAGGAGAATGGGCGGTAGAGAAGGGGAGGGAGGCCATAGCGTGCAAAGGGCTATTTTACTTTGGACTGGTAACATCACTGGCTGGCAAGCAAATGGGCCAAGCTTTTCATGCTCCTACATACATCTCAGAGGCGAAGAGAAGGCTTTCTTCCTCATGTTTTGAGTTACAGCTTACTAATTTTGGAGGCTTACTAACTATCGAAGTGGAAGTGTGTGAGAAGCTGGTGATGATGTAAGCAAAGCTGATGTATAGTGGGAAACAACCTATTTCCATGGAATTTGATCACTGGACTTTTTGCCTTTACTCAAGCATGCTGAATGTCAATTTTTTTCATTTATAAAATAGTCTCCATACTAATTTTAGCATAAATTGCATTGTACACTGTTCACCATGTTCATATTTTCATCAAAAGCAAAAGCTGATTCAGAAACAGCACTGTTAGAGACTGCATGTATCTATCTATCTATCTATCTATCTATCTATCTATCTATCTATCTATCTATCTATCTATCTCTTGTTCTCCTAAGAAATACAACTACTCTAAACTCTGACTCATGCCAACCTTTCTCTTTTCATATTCACATTGCACTTCTTTCAAATGATTTTATCCATAGAGACATACAGTTTTATTCATGCTACAGAGGTAGGTAAATGCAGTGCTAGGAATCTTGCACAATGACTTTTTGATGCAGCAGAGAATGGAACCCTAAT